TGTTTTCCTAGTTCTCAGGGGTTTAGGGCTTAGGGTTTAGGGTTTAAGGCTTGGGGTTTTAGGGTTTAGGGTTTAGGGTTTAGGGTTTTTAGAGTTTAGGGTTTAGGGTTTAGGGTCAACCAATTCCCTCATTCCCTATAAAGCAAGATATCCTTGCCAGCAACTGTAGACTCGACGGCCCGTATTCACAAAAGTCCTCTGTGCAATGTCTGTCCGCTTGTGTCCCACGGCCTCCCGACTCCTGTTCCTTAAACACACTGCCTTGTGCGACTCTTTCCTACTCCTTCCTCCGACTTTTCCCTCTTCATCCCCATTCTCCTCCTCCTTCTTGTCCTTCTCCTCCTTCCCCTCCTCCTCCTCCTCCTCCTCCTCCTCCTCCTCACGCCTTCTTACTCCTCCTTTCCCCTCCCCCATTCCCTGCTGGCTACTCCCTTTCCTGGCTCCCTACTCCCTACTGCCTACTACCTGCGCGACACTACTACCTTCTTCTGCAGTCATCGACGTCACCATCACCGCCAGCACTAGGCAACACTAGGGTTAGCTCAATGAAGACCCTAGACCCTAAACCCTAAACCCCATAGGCCCGAAACCCTAAAACCCTGAGACGACGAAGACTTTGATAGCACTAACGTGGCAGCTGTGGCCGAACGCCGCCGAACGCCGTCGCTGTCACAAAAAAGACAGCCACTGAGTTGCCCATGGCCTGGCTTTGGGGTTTGGGGTTTGGGGTTTGGGGTTTGGGGTTTGGGGTTTAGGGTTTAGGGTTTAGGGTTCAGGGTTCAGGGTTTAGGGTTTAGGGTTTAGGGTTTAGGGTTTAGGGTTTAGGGTTTAGGGTTTAGGGTTTAGGGTTTAGGGTTTAGGGTTTAGGGTTTAGGGTTTAGGGTTGCCCAAGGCCTGGCTCTGAGGGTAGTTTTGATGTATGGGCCCTTAATTTGCATAGGGTTGTTTAGGGTTTCGGGCTTAGGGTTTAGGGTTTAGGGTTTAGGGTTTAGGGTCCACGGTTTAGGGTTTAGGGTTTGGGGGTTTGGGGGTTTGGGGGTTTGGGGGTTTGGGGGTGACGGGTTAGGGGCTAGGAGCTAGGGTCTTCGGGGGGTTGAAGGTCCTTTGGGGGTTTAGGGTCTTTTGGGCTTTGGGCTGAAGGTGTGTGCTTGGGGCTTATGGGAAAGCTGAGTTCAGCTGCTTCCGTTGTGGCTTCTGCTCCAGCACAGAGACACCAGAAATCCCCAAGACCCCTAGAACCCCAAAAGTCCTAAAAGCCCTGGAACCCAAAATTCCCCAGAAACCCTAGAAGCCCGCAAAACCGCTAAGTCCTCAAGACTCAAACCCCCCCCCAAGGAGCCCTAAAGCCCCATAAAAACGCCTAAAGCCTAAAGACCCCAAGGCCCGCAACAAAAGCCGTAAAACCCCGAAACCGCTCAAGCTCCAAAACCCTCAGAAGCCCCAAACCCCCCCCCCAAAGACGCCGCAAACCCCGAAAGCCCTCAAGCCCGAAACCCTAAACCCTAAGCCCTAAACCCTCACTGTTGAACGCACTTCCTTTGCAGGTCCTTCAGGTAGGTTGTTCACTTGTTTTCCTTGTTGCTCGTAGGCCCAAGCACAGTAGGGTCATGAGCACATCTTTTAAGTACATTCACAACCTTTAGGTGCCGTAGCCCAAGGTTAGCGCAGAACAGACATTTGGTCTTTTTTCTTGTTTGCTGTGTGTCAAAAGAAGCTCCGCGTTCGTGTGCGCCATGGCTGTCAGGGATGGGACTGGGGAACTTGCTACTCCACTAGTGCCTCCTGCTCAGCCTGCTGGTTCACACCAGCAGGTTATGAGCCCAACGCAGGGCTACGGCACCGTGCCAATGCATCCATCCCCACCTCCCGGGAGGGATGGTATGTCACAACGTGCACAGATGCATTCCTCAACACCTGAGGCGCCCACCGCCGGCATTGAGGGTGGTTTGGGTTTTGGGGAAGATATGGCAGCGGGAAGGGCGGGAGCGAGCATAGACCCATTAGAAGGCGTGCAGCACTCGTCGACCACCACTGGGGGTGGTACGTTGCAAGGTGTGCCCCGAAGCATGCCGCGAGCATTGCAGCCACCGGGCGGAAGTCCAGGACCAGAGGCCAACACCGAGCACAGTCCAGACATCTTGCGTGAATACCGTCAGGTTACAGACCAAGGTGGGGACAGTGGTTCGGGGGGTATAGGGTTAACTGGTGAGGCCCCCGGAGTTGAGGGATTCGTGACACCACGCTCGCAGCAAGGTTTGCCCGCCATAGCAGAAATGGTAGAGGGTATTTCTGGTGTGGTGCTGTCGCGGGTTTCAGAGTTTTTCCGCGTTGCTAGGACTGAGGTGCAAACACAAACTCAGTCGCCGCCACGCACCGTTTTCGCGCAAGCAAGCCCTGGTGCCGTGTCCAGGGTAAGGGCTTTGGAGGATGGGAGTGTGGGGTCAAGTGGGTCGCCGCCGTTGCCGGGATCGCATGGGACTCCAACCACTTTCGCCCCGGGCCCCGGAAGGGAAGCCCCGCTACTTAACGCAGAGATGTTGCAACGCATGCAGGCTATTGAGCAGCGGGCCCCACTAATCTATCCGCGAGTTGTAGCGCCTGAACGCCCCTCAAGTCGTACAGAGTCGTCGTCCTTGCCACAGGAAGCAATTCAAGCAGAGGTGGCCAGGCAGCTTGCAGGTTTTGAGGCTAGAGTCCAGGCGCAGGAGATGGAGAATCAGAGGTTGAGGCAGCTACTTGAGAGGAGTGAGCAGAGAGAGAGGTCCATGCGGGAAGTAGTGTCAACGCAAGCACAGACCCCAAGTGGCCCACCTCTAATCCCTAATGCCGCTCATGCGCCTGTTGAGGCCCCTCTGCCAGCACCATCTCTTGCCCATCAGGTGCAGGATGCCACCTTTCAGGTGATGGATGCATTGAGGGCGCCTGCATCTGCATCAGGGTTTTGGTCTAATTTGTGGTCGGGTTTGCAGGGTTCGCAAAGGTTGCCCAGCAATGCAACCCCACCCGGAAGGGCTGGGCATGTGCGTGAGCCCATGGCTCAATCTGCCCAGGTTGCACAGGTGCCAGGTACTGTTCAGGATGCACAGGTGCCAGGTACTCACAGGGCCTCTTCTGGCCCAGACCCCACTTTCCAGCCCGAAACCCCAGGTCTGGGGCAGATGAGGGCTGAAGGGGCCAATTCCGGCACAAGTCCACATTCTCGGCCCGAGAACCTGGGTTTGTGGCAGATTCCAGCAACTCCTCAGGTTTCAGGCGGTTTTGCCAGCGCCGCAGCTCCACATGAGCAGCCCGCCACGCGTGAGGTGCCAAGTTCCGTAGTGGATGCACTGGTTTTAGGGGCGCAGCAGCTGCAAAGCTTGCAAGCTCATCAGCTCAAGGTCAAAGGTGACGATGCCCGTGAAGCAGTGAAACCAGGCATCACAACACTGCCCAAACTTGTTGCCCCCAACCCGTCAGGTGGGTCGTTGGAGTTTCAGGATTGGCTTGAGTTGGTTGGTGGATTGATGAGTGATGTGTCGGATTCATCGCAGCTTTGGTGGACAAGCGTGTTGCAGTTAGCGCGTGACGCCTTTGCCCGTTGGAGCGTTTCGTCCCCCGTGGAGCGGTTGAGAGTGGCCCCGGATGACAGGACGGAGATTGTTGAGGGCAAGTGGTCGCGTGTGAATGCCAGAGCATGTGCCATGTTGTTGGATTCGTTGGACGCGTCCGTGAAGGCCGACATTGTAGCACGCAGAGCCACGCAAAATGCAGCACACATCATGTTTCGCCTACATACGATTTACCAGCCAGGTGGGACCAACGAGCGCGACCTGATACTCAGGAACCTGCATGATCCACCACCGTTTAAGGACGTGGTTGCTGGAGTGAGTTTGCTGAGGTCTTGGGGTCGTTGGCATCGCCGTTGTTTGGAATGTGGCATGGTTGCTCCTGATCCCTCCATCTTGGCCCGTGGGTTGACCACTGTGACATCGCAGCACATTGCCAGGAATCCAGACGTGCAGTTTCGCACTCAGGTTGTACGCAGCGCACTGCACATTGACCTTCACCCGTCGGGAGATGAGGTTTTAGACTACCACAAGCATTTGTTGGCTGAGTTTGAAACTATGGCCGGTGGGGTAGACCCTAAGAAGGTAGATCCTAAGGTCCAGGCATTAAATGCTGCAGCCGAAGCATCAGGTGGTGGAAACCAACCTCTGGGGAAGGGTGCTGGAGGAGCAGGTGGTAAGCCGTGTAAGTTCTTTCTCTCGCCAAAGGGTTGCAGGAATGGTCCCAAATGCAAGTTCCCTCATTCCATGACCGAGCTCTCGAAAGCCGAGCGTTTCAAGAAATGCCTGGTGTGTGGTTCTGAGGAACACCGTGCAAAGGACTGCCCATTAGGTAAGGGTTCAAAACCTGAGACCAAAACGCATGAGAAGCCCACGATGCGCAAAACCACCCCCCAGGCATCGGGCCCAGGAGGAGTGGGAGGACAGGATGCATCGTCTTCAGCTTCAGCCTCATCACAGGTGCCAGTGCAGGCCACGCCCATCACCATGAATGGTCAACCTGTTACGCTAGAGTCCTTTATGCAAGAGGCAGTGAAGGCTTTGAGGCAGGTTGAGGTGAGCCCGGGCACGAGTGAAGCGCAACCGTCAAACAGTACGTCCCAAACCCATCCAAATGCATCCCTCAAGCGCCTTGCAGTCCTTGGTTTGGGTGAGGAAAAGCCAGCTCGGAGCTCCCCCGAAACGTCCGTGCTGCACGTGCAATCTTTAGAGGTTGGGGATGGTGGGGAGTTGTTAGCCTTAGTGGACTCGGGTGCCACGCACGCTATGAGGGCAGCGTCATCCCAGGAGGAGTGGGAGCAGGCTACGCAAGTGGTGGTGAGTTTGGCGGGGGAGAACACCACGTCTATGAGACTCACTGCTAGTGGCACTCTGCTTTTGCCTCCCGGGAGGGATGGCTCCGCGCAAACCATTGTGCCCATGGACGCAATTGTGGAGCAACTTGGTTACACCCTTATGTGGTCCGCCGGCAACTGCAAACTCCTTCACCCTGACGGGCGGAAGTTGAAGCTTCGTGTCCGCAATGGTTGCCCGGAACTTGTGCAGTCCAAGGCGTTGGAGTTGATTTCGCGCTTAGAGGAGAGGAAACTGGCGGAAATTGAGCAGCTCAAGCGCCACACCGAGGAAGGCAGGGACAGGATTCGTCAGGCCAGGATTGCACTTGAGAAGAGCTGGTGGGAGCACTTGATGGACTACGCCCGTGATGGCGTTTCCTGCTCAGGTGACGCCGCTGTTGCAAATGCACCGTTCTTCACTGATGTTCCCCGTTGTGCGTTGCGAGGTTTGGTCCCTTCAGGTGACGCGGGCGACGAGTCATTGTGGGACATGTTGCGCAGTGCTTTGCCCAACCTCAACAGGAGGAGGAGGAAGGCGCTACAGCAGTCAAGGCGTTGGATTGTCCACTTGTTTGCAGGCCCGCGCCCTCATAAGACCTTTGCACGGCTTGAGCGTGATGGCACAGTTGTGTTGGAGCTTGATGTGACTCAGTGCGCAGCGCATGATTTGAACCGTCTTTCACTTTGGGCACTCCTGCTTAAAGCGGCGGGGGATGGGCGCGTTGCAGCAGTGATTGGTGGCCCTCCTTGTCGCACTATGTCTGTTCTCCGGCATAAACCTGGAGGCCCAAGGCCAGTGAGGTCCCCTAGTGAGCCGTATGGGTTGAGCGATCTCAGTGCTAGTGAGCGTGCGTTGGTGAACAATGACACGGGGCTGTTTGCTCGGATGTTGTTCTTGCATGCAACAGCGACGGCCGGAAGGCGTGTCCATCGTCAGTCCGTGCAACATTCGTCGCAGGTGGCATTCTTACTTGAGCAACCTCAGCCTGTTGATCGCTATCTTCCTGCTGGCCATTCGTTGGTTGGTGAGGTTCCCTCGTTTTGGCACACAAACTTGTGGCGTGCATATGCATTAGAGGCAGGTCTTTTCGAAGTCGATTTTGACCAAGGTGCTCTAGGACACGCAACCACAAAGCCAACCACCATAGGCACTAACCTTCCTGACCTGAGGGGCTTGCACGGCCTCCGGAAGGAGTGTCCTACGCTGGCATGGAAAGGCGACTCAAAGGACTTAGCCGCGTGGGCGCCGCAGTTTGTGCAAGCTGTTGTTCATGCGTTGCAATGTTGGCCCCGCTACCAGCTATGCCGCATGACGCCCGAGGACTGGCAACGACATGTAGAAAATAACCACGTTCCATACCGTAGGGATTGTGGAATTTGCGTACGTGGCGCCGGCACCGGCCGTAGGCATCAAGGAGTCACACATCCCGACGTGTATTGCCTGTCTGCCGACGTGGCTGGTCCCATCAGAGTCCCTGCAAAAGACCCCGAGGGTCGGAGCAAACACCCGCCCGTGTTCCGGTACTTTTTAGCAGCGTCCTATCGTTTTCCTAAACTCCAAGGGACAAAGGACGAACCCAACCCAACGCAGGTTGATGGGTTCGATGATCCTTTACTCCACCCTGGCGGGGAGGACGAGTTAGCCGACGTTGTTGTGGAAGGCCCACCGGAGCCAGAGCACCGCCCTGACGGGAAGGATGTGCTGCCCGAGGATTGTTTAGGATATTGTCCTACAAGTGAGTCTGAAAACGACGCGTGTAAAGAAGCAGGCGCGTTACGCGTAGCAGCCGCAAAGGCCAAGGCCAAACCAAGCAAACCCAAGGAAGAACACCCTTGGGAAAGGGCCAAGTGTGAGTTTGAAGCTCCGCCAGGCCTAGCTAGGTTGGTGTTTGTTGTTCCGCTGCACACGAACAAGAGCGAGGCAGTGCTAGAGGCGCTGCAACAAGTGTTCCTAGAACTTCGCTCATTGAACCTTCCTGTGCTGCGCTTTCACTCAGATAGAAGTCGGGAGTTCTTTAACAAAAGGACCCGAGCTTGGTTTCACGAGCACGGGGTGCGTACCACCACAGCTGAAGGAGATACGCCGCAGCAAAACGGAGCAGCTGAGAACACCATCCGCTGGTTAAAGGCTAGGGCGCGCACGCTCCTCGCCCAGGCCGAAGTTGGAACAGAGCTGTGGGCATGTGCAATGGCCACTGCGGCATCGCAGCAACGTGCGCAACAGCTTGGCCTCAAGTCCAAGCTTGCAGCTCCGTTTGGGGCACCGTGCTCTGTGAAACTTAAGTTTTACGGACCTTCTAGGGGTGACTTAGGGGATAGGTGGGTAGATGGTAAGTACATGGGGTTGTCGCCTTCTGTGAATGATGGCCACATCGTCCTACGCAACGACAGAGTGGGCAACGGCTTCCTCCAAACACTCCATGTGCGCTCACGCCTCCATTCACCAGAGATGCCAGACCGCGTGTTTGAGGGCGATGTGAGGGAGCCTGCGCCGCTCGAGCCGGCAAGGCGTGTGCGTGGGAAGTCCGAGCCAGCGCTTGGCGAGCCACCTCTGCCGCCGCCTCCTCTTCCACCGCCGGAAGGTGAGTGCGTGCCCGTGCCTGCAAGTCGCACTCGACTCCGTGGGAAGTCAAGCCCTGCAGTTCGCAAGTCTTTGCTGTTCCCACTGCCTGACGGTGAGTGTCTGCCTGAGCAATGTGAAGCCGTTGAGGAGGAGTTTAGGGCTAGTCGGTTTAGTGTTGTGGACCTTGAGGGTTTCGCAAAGGAGTTACTGCTTGAAGACTGGGACCTTGAAGAGGCCATGTGGGTCTTGGTCCAGTTCAGCCGTCTGCAGTCTCTTAAGGCTGGCCTTTACCGACACGGTGGTGTAGTAGGCACCACGAGTGCAACAAACTCTTACCCCTGGCTCACAGAGCTGATGGCCGCGACGCTCCTGTCCGCAAGTCCAGAGGCCGAATTCACGAGTCTTTGGCTTTCCAATACGAACCCCATGTCCTTGCATGCAGACCACAACAATGTAGAAGGGTCTGTCAACGTAGTCTTTCCACTCAAGCTCCCTCCTGAAGGCGGAGACTTGTGGGTAGAACTGCGAGCAGGAGATGTTATCTATGGCTCTGTCGAGCAACGAGTTGATGGTGCAGGAAAGAAGTGGTTGGGCACAACGCACAGCCTGCAAAGAGGTAAGCCCTTCTACTTGGACCCCAAACGCCGTCATGCTACTACCCCTTTTGAAGGTGAAAGGGTCGTGCTCGTAGCCTACACCGTTAACACCTTAGGGAAGGTGTCAGAGTCTGAGCTCCAAGCCCTCGAGTCCTTAGGCTTTCCGCTCCCTGCTTCAGCACGCTTGCCACTCACAACGCAGCAAGATGTCAGGCGCTTGGACGTGTTTGACATGTTTGAGGAGGGTCCCTTAGAGCTAGCAGGTGAAGACTGCCCGAAGAAAGTAGAGAAGGGTGGGGGTTGGAAAGAGACTCAGAAGGTAGAGGCTGGAACAGTAGAGCTAGAGGTCTCGTGGAACCTCAAGCACACTCCGGCGCAGCACGAGCAGACACCTTGCGTTCTGCAGACCCTGGAGCCAAAACCCCACGCGCAGGTCGAGGAGGAGTCCTGGCCAGAACAGCCTGTGCAGTGGGAGCTGTGGCTTCCAGACCCCCAAAGTGGCCAGTGTGCACTCCGGTCTGACGACCTGGACCTGCGTCTTTGCAAGTCCGAGCCAGTGTACACTCCAGACATTGAACAGCTGCTCAGTGGCTTAACTGAGCCACTGCAGATAGTTCATACTGTCGACCCGCGAGAGGCGGAAAAGCACAGTGAAGTGTGGATCCCGTCAATCCTGAAAGAGATCGGGGTCATAGAAAAAGCTGTGCACCGTTTGCCGCCCAGCGAGGTGCGCAAAGGGAACTGGCTTCACCGCACTGACGTGAGGGTTGTGCCGGCAAAGCTGGTTTTCACTGTTAAGCCTCCTGACGTGCAACCCACCGCGCCCGGGAACGGGGAGCACGCAACCCAGGCAAGCTTGTTCAAACGCAAGGCGAGGCTTGTTGCGTGTGGAAACCATGCCCCTTCCACTGGCACCGAAATATATGCGTCAGGTGCTGCAGCAGAGTCACTTCGTTGTTTGGTTGTCATTAGCTCTAAGAGGGGTTGGATGCTAGGCATCTTGGATGTAACCTCAGCGTTCCTCCTCACGCCCATTCCCCAGGGTGACGGGTTTCCTGTGTTTGCCCTAACGCCGCCGCGCTACCTTGTGCGGCAAGGTCTTGCGCAGGAGGGAGAGCTTTGGATCCTCACACACGCCGTCTATGGACTCAGGGAGTCACCAAAGCTGTGGTCAGACTTTAGGGACTCTCAGCTTCTTAACCTTAGATGCATGGCCAATGGGGTTGAGCTGCAGCTACTCAAGGGCAAGTTAGACACGAACTGGTGGCGCATCGTGCAAACCAGTGATGGTCAAGTCGTGGGAGGTTTAATCACCTACGTTGATGACTTCCTACTTGCTGGATGTGCTGCAGTCATCGAGGCTCTCGCTAAGGCTATCCAGTCGATCTGGAAAACGACGCCCCTCACACTTGCCACGCCGCACCAGCCGTTAAGGTTTCTAGGGGTTGAGATCCTAGTGCAGGGTTTAGGGTTTGTTCTGTCACAGCAGGCCTATGCAGAGGAGCTGCTACGCCTCAACAACGTCAAGCCCACTGCACTGGGTAAGATCCCTTGCCCAAGGGACTTGGTGTCCTTTGACACTCTCCTGACAGATGAGTCTCCCACCGAGGAGTCAGTTCGCACAGCCCAGAGGCTGACCGGAGAAATCTTGTGGCTGAGCCAGCGAACGAGGCCGGATCTCGCGTTCACCGCTTGTGTCCTTGCTACGTTGAGCACAAAGGCGCCCGAAAGGGCTGCACGCATCGCTGAAAGGGCACTTGCGTACGTGCAGCAAACCAAAGCCTTTGCTCTCACTGCTGACGCAGATGACACGGGCTTAGTTGCGTACAGCGATGCCTCTTTTGCGCCAGATGGCAATGCTCACACACTGGTTGGGTTGTCTTCCTCTACGGCTCTCCTGTCTGTTGGCGTTCCGCTCGGCAGGCGTTTGTCACACTCAGCACTGCAGAGTCCGAGCTCGTCGCAGGACTTGATGCCGTCGTTGCACTGCAGTCAGCAGAGGCCATGCTGGGTGAGTTTGGGGTCTTTAACTTGGGTAAGACCTTGAAGGTTGACTCTCAGTCTGCGCTTGCTATCGCCATTGGCCAAGGGTCTTGGCGAACCCGCCACCTGAAGGTGCGCGCCAACTATTTGCGAGAGCAGTATGAGGCAGGTGAGATAATCCCTGTTTTTTGCCCAGGTGTGGAGCAGGCTGCAGACCTCCTCACAAAAGCGCTTCCTGCAGCGAGGATTCTCGAGCTCGCAGCCATTTGGGGTTTGTTCGAGCACCGTCCAGAGGACCCCCGCCAAGCGGAAGCTGTGGCTGTCGACCTGCCTACCCACCCTCAGTATCCAGTATCCGCAGATCAAGTTGCTTTTCCTATTGCTTGCAATGATGCAGATCCAAAGTGCCAAGTGTCAGCCTGAGCTCTTTGATGAAGAGGAGGGAGATGTACATCAGGTTGAATTAAGTACGGATCTCATGTTCATGTTGCTTGTGGGTTTTGTCGGCATTGGTTTTATTGCCGTGTGGGAGCTTGCCAAGTGGTGCCTGAGACACCGCTCTCTTTGCCGCATCCGCGGCACTGCCAAGCAGAGGAAATTGCAACGCCTTCGTGACCGAACGGCCCAAGCAATCGAGGCCGAACTTTCCGCACGCAGGCAGCCAGAAGATGGAGCCCCAACTCGTTACTTTGCTGTTCCTGAGGGGGATAAGCTCCATCGCACCAAGGACTGTCCTGCAATTGCAAGGTCATCCAATCTTTGCACATTTGAGGTGTGTCAGCGGTGCCACCGGCGTGCACCAGATCACACCACGCATAGCACAGGGTAGGTACTACTCCGCCCTGACGGGCAGGATGTGCATCGCATCGCGCATTCATGCCAAGTTTTTCCTCTTTTGCACTGCAATTTGCAGTTTGCAGAGATGCTCGCACGCATCTCTTTCTGAGCGCCTTAGGGTAGGGAACACTCTCCACCCTGACGGGCAGGACCTGCGCAGAAGTAGGAGTAAGGTAGGTCGCTGTCCCCTGGCGAGGCCGCGAAGGAGGAGTGTTGAACGCACTTCCTTTGCAGGTCCTTCAGGTAGGTTGTTCACTTGTTTTCCTTGTTGCTCGTAGGCCCAAGCACAGTAGGGTCATGAGCACATCTTTTAAGTACATTCACAACCTTTAGGTGCCGTAGCCCAAGGTTAGCGCAGAACAGACATTTGGTCTTTTTTCTTGTTTGCTGTGTGTCAAAAGAAGCTCCGCGTTCGTGTGCGCCATGGCTGTCAGGGATGGGACTGGGGAACTTGCTACTCCACTAGTGCCTCCTGCTCAGCCTGCTGGTTCACACCAGCACTCACCCTAAACCCTAAACCCTAAGCCCTAAACCCTAAACCCTAAGCCCTAAGCCCTGAACCCTAAACCCTCAACCCTAAACCCTAAACCCTAAGCCCTAAACCCTAAACCCTAAGCCCTAAGCCCTAAACCCCTAAACACGACACCCAAAACCCTAAACCCTAAACCCTCAACCCTAAAGCCCGCAAAACAAACCTGGAGTTTTACGCCCAGGGCCTCACAGCGAAGGCGTCAGGGAGGAGATGCTCGCAAGAACCACGGGCCTGGGGGTTTTCTTGGAGGGTTTAGGGTTTAGGGTTTGGGGTTTGGGGTTTGGGGCTTGGGGCTTGGGGCTTGGGGTTTGGGGGGTGTAGGGGTGTAGGGGTGTGTAGGGGTGTAGGGGTGTGTAGGGGTGTAGGGGTGTGTAGGGGTGTGTAGGGGTGTGGGTAGGGGTTGTAGGGGTGCGTAGGGGTGTGTAGGGGTGTTAGGGGTGTGTAGGGGTGTGTGGGGTGTGTAGGGGTGTGTAGGGGTGTGTAGGGGTGTGTAGGGGTGTGTAGGGGTGTGTAGGGGTGTGTAGGGGTGGGTGTAGGGGTGCGTAGGGGTGCGTAGGGGCGTAGGGGCGCGTAGGGGTGCGTAGGGGTGTGTAGGGGTGTGTAGGGGTGTACGGGTGTAGGGGTTGGTTAGGGTTTAGGGTAGGGTTGAGGGTTTAGGGTTTAAAGGGTGTCGTGTTTGCCGAAGATCTTCTACGGGTTTGCAGTGATTTGCTGAAAGGTTTTCAGGCTTTGCCGGGTTTGTTTGGGGGCCAAGGGTTCGTTTTGGGGTTTAGGGTTTAGGGTTTAGGGTTTAGGGTTTAGGGTTTAGGGTTTAGGGTTTAGGGTTTAGGGTTTAGGGTTTAGGGTTTAGGGTTTAGGGTTTGCAGGGCTTGTTTAAGGGGTTTCCAGGTTGCTTTAGGGCTTGCTGGAGAGGTGTGAGAGTTTGGCGAATATTTACAGGAACTTTTCCGGCTTCTGGGGTTGCTCAGCGGCCTTTAGATTCTTCGAGGACGATGTTTAAGGGTCAAATTTATGGGTCCCCCTAGGGGTATAGGTTATAGGGTCTCAATTCGGGCCCTTTGGGGCTTTAGGGTTTAGGGGAAAAGGGGTTTGGGCTTAGGGTCGGGCCTGGGGCGTGGAAACATTAGGGTTCGCGATTTTGCGGTCTCAGCATGTTTGTTGGAGGTTCAGGGTTTAGGGTTGAAATGTTCTCCCTTATACTAACAGTCATTAATAGGGATTATAGTACCCCCTATGAAAACCCCTACTAAGGGCTATTAGTACAAGGGGGAACATCCCCCCAGTTTAAAGCGGTGGGCGTTAGGGACATGTGGGGCTTCCGCTGTACCCGAGGGATTGGACGGCGAGTTCTTTGGTTTCTTCCTGACCCTCGAGCATTTATGGGCGAACTGCTCGGTGCCCTCTCGTAATGGAATCCCTTGCAGATGAAAACTCCTAAAAGACCTAAGCCTGGTATCACACCCTAAACCCTAAACCCTAAACCCTAAACCCTAAACCAAAGACTGCTATTAAACACAAGGTGACCTCTGTCTTGATGTCAAGTTCTTGACGCCTGTTCTCGTTCTTCGGGTTCCCAGCCTAAACCCTAAAACTCCAAAAAGGGTTTGGGGTTTAGGGTTTAGGGTTTAGGGTTTAGGGTTTAGGGTTTAGGGTTTAGGGTCGAGGGTTGAATCGCAAAACGTGGCAGGCACAGCTTGCCGAACATGTCAGTGCGCGTGCAAACGGGGACCGCTAAGTGATTTCTGCCACTTGCCCCGCTTGCCCCACTTGCTGTGCTCCCTTACCGAAAACCACTTTGCCCCACTTGCCCCACTTGCCCCACTTGCCCCACTTGCCCTGCCTTAACCGCTAAGTGATTTCTGCCACTTGCCCCGCTTGCCCCGCTTGCCCCACTTGCCCCACTTGCCCACTCGCCCCCCTCCTACCCCAGCCCACCCTGCAAGTGGGGCGTGGGGCAAGCGGGGCAAGTGCCGCAAGTGGGGCAAGTGGGGCAAGTGGGGCAAGTGGGGGCAAGTGGGGGCAAGTGGGGCACCCCCCCCCCCCCCCCCCCCCCCCCCCCCCCCCCCCCCCCCCCCCCCCGCCCCCCCCCACCGCCCCCCCCCCATGGCCTGACAAGTCTGCCTCAAATCTTGTTGCCCCTTTCATGTTGCGTTTCCCTTCCTTCCCCCCTCCCCCTCCCCGCCCTTCCCCTTAAAATCCCCCCCTGTGTTGCCTGACAAGTCTGCCTCAAATCCGGCTGCGTTTGAGGCAGACTTGTCGTGCCGGTTTCCTACTCTTGATCGTGTTCCCCCCACCTCCCCCCCCCAAACTCCCCCCCCGCCTCCCCCACCCTTCCTGATCCTCCTCCCCTCCCCGTCCTTCATCTCAAAATGGCCCCCTTCTGTGGCCTGACAAGTCTGCCTCAAATCGGGCTGTGTTTGAGGCAGACTTGGCCTCTTTCGTGTTGTCACCCCTTCCCCCCCCCCCACCTTCCCCTCAAAATAGTCTTTCCCCCTTCCCCCCCCCCCCCCTCTTCCCCACCTTCCCCTCAAAATGGTCTTTCTTGTCTGTGTTCCCCCCCCCCTCCCTTCTCTCCCCTTCCCCTCGTCTCCTCTTCCCCACTCCCCTTCTCTGACCTGATAAGTCTGCATGAAATCGGGCTCCTCCCACTTAACATGATCCCCCTTTATGGGCTGACAAGTCTGTGTGCTGTGGTTGAGGCAGACTTGTTGTGCCATCCTGGCATCCTGGGCTGACCTTTCTTGCGTGCAATCTCCACAGCAGAGACAGGATGTCTGTGCAGAGCTTGCACGATATCGCAAACTCCACTTGCCCCACTTGCCCCACTTGCCCCACTTGCCCCACTTGCCCCACTTGCCCCAGTTACCCAGGCAGCAGGGATTACTCCTGAGGCAAGTGGGGCAAGTGGGGCAAGTGGGGCAAGTGGGGCAAGTGGGGCAAGTGGGGCAAGTGGGGCAAGTGGGGCAAGTGGGGCAAGTGGGGCATCAATTAGCTTTTCCGGGCCACCAAGTGGGGCAAGTGGGGCAAGTGGGGCAACATCAATTAGCTCTTCTGGAAAGGCAAGTGGGGCAAGTGGGGCAAGTGGGGCAACATCAATTAGCGGACCTCCTGGGCGCTCGCAATGGAACATGTCTCTTGAAGGGCAAACCTCAGCTGGACACAACCCACCTAAACCCCATAATCCTCAAAAACCCAAACCCCTAAACGGCCCTAAACCCCATAATCCCTAGGGAAAAACCCCCAACCCTAAACCCTAAACCCCCAAACCCCCTTACTCCGAAAAAGGGCCCCAAATATTTCCGCACCTTCTAAGGAATGCTGGGTGCATGGCCGGCGCTGCTTCATCTTGGCAGTGTTCACCGCGGTCTTCTCCTTGGAGCCCGTTTAGGGGTTTAGGGGTTTAGGGTTGAGGGTTTAGGGTTTAGGGTTTAGGGTTTAGGGTTTAGGGTTTAGGGTGGAGGTTGGAGGCTGGAGGGTTGGTGGTTGAGGGTTGCGGGCCTAAACCCCCACATCCTCCGAAGCCCGAGAAAGCAGATGAGGCATCCTGAACGCTCTGTTAGAAATGCGCGCTCCCTCGCACGCACGTGTGCAACTTGCAAGCTAGCCACCGGGCCTTCAAGAAAGCGCGCATCACCCCTGAATTGTTGCAGTGCTGCTGGCAGCTTGGAAGAAAGCCATCTCAAGCAAGCTCAGCAATGCAAAGGGACGCCTAAGGCATTTTGCAATATGGCCGCTTACCCGCTGTCGCTGTGCAGCCGGCCGGGCTGATGTAATCCCGCTGGTCTTCTCCAATTAGGTACCCAGCGAACAAGGCAACGACCCAGGATCTGTCCGCAACCCGGTGATTAACCCCTAAACCCTAAACCCTAAACCCGGGGGAAGTCGCTTGAAGGCCATTGCAATCGTGCACCGTGAGTTTCCGATGGAAAAAGCCAGGGGGGGAAGTTTGCATGGACCGCGCGGTCGGTCACCGACACGGCCGCACGCAGCCGCGCGCATTTTATCCCTCTGATTGCAAAAGCTTGAGGTTTTGGAGATTAGGGTTGAGTGCTTGTCTTTTTTTCAAAGGTTTTTTTGTTTTTCCTTGGGTTTTAGGAGTTTAGGTTCTGAGGGGCCTTATGCTACCAGAGAATGCCCGCCACACGTTCCGCATGTCCCGAGCTTGATCAAACGTTCGCAGCCCCTAAATGCAACCCTTGCCTGACCCCTGCAGTCCTGAAGCCCAAACCCTTCTGGCCTGCAGAAGCAAGAAGAAGGAGAATTTGGTAGCCTAGGAACCATATTCGAAAATGGGTACTTCTTTTTTTTTTGGGGGGGGGGACTCTAGAACCCCCAAAAAGAGAAAAGCGCACCACTGGGCCACCGAGAACAAGGACGGCCGAGCGTCGTAGTGAGCGAGGTTGGCCTGGTGGACGTGACGGGCGCGGTTATGAGGGGATCTGGGTTTAGGGTTTGGGGTGTAGGGTTTAGGGTTTAGCGTTTAGGGTTTAGGGTTTAGGGTTTAGGGTTTAGGGTTTAGGGTTTAGGGTTTAGGGTTTAGGGTTTAGGGTTTAGGGTTTAGGGTTTAGGGTTTAGGGTTTTAGGGTTTAGGGTTTAGGTTTAGGGTTTAGGGTTTAGGGTTTAGGGTTTAGGGTTTAGGGTTTAGGGTTTAGGGTTTAGGGTTTAGGGTTTAGGGTTTAGGGTTTAGGGTTTAGGGTTTAGGGTTTAGGGTTAGGGTTTAGGGTTTAGGGTTCAAGAGGGCCACACTAGGGCAACCCCAAACCCCCTAACCCTGAGGGCTTTGGGGGTGTAAGTGTGTTGGAGTGAGGACGTACTGCTAGACAGCGTTGGAGTAGGTTCAATGCCACCTTGAACCCTAAACCCAAGCGCCCTAAACCAGCCTTAGCACATAAGGGCTCAGGGCTTAGGCTTTCGGGCTTGGGGCTTGGGGCTTAGGTTTGAGGGTTTAGGGTCGAGGGTTTAGGGTTTTGTGTTTAGGGCATAAGGCACGCCTTGCCTCCAGTCCCTGCAAGTGGGCGGCAGACACGGCTGCGACCTTCCCGGAGGTCTTGCGGTGGCCTTGGCGCGGAAGGGCGATCTAGGCTTTGCGCAGTTAGGGGTTTAGGTTGGGACTTAACGAGGTGCATTGATCATAAGAAAAGCTAGCTTGAAGAGAAGCTAGCCTTGAACAAAGGGGGAAAAGCTGGGCATCATGGTTAGAGGCTAGAGGGCTTACGGCTTAAGACTCAACTAGAGAGCGGTTGTCCCGAAAGCGCTTCTGAGCCGCGATAAAGACCTCGAAGAAACCGTTAAGTTTCAGAAAGACGCAACGCTTTGGAAGACGACACGACGACACGGTTCATGTGAGACATCATCCTCGAAGCACATAGACCATGTGGGGCTGCTGATGGCTCATGTTGACAGCGTGGACTGTCGCCAACGCCAGGCCATTCGCGTCAGGCTGAAGACCTGCGAGCGTCGGAGCAGCAACTGCTTGTCCTTGCCTTGTCCCCCTCTAGGACGCGTCAGGACACGCCGGGAACGCCAAGAGGGTTGTCGTTGGCGACGCCCCATGCGCCGGCGCCACACACCCCGAGTTTCACCGCGAGGGTTGTCGTTCGCGCCCAGAATTCGGCGACCAGAATTTCGACGATGCCCCACGCGCCAGCGCCGAGACACCCCACGAGCACCGCGAGGGTTGTCGTTCGCGGCCAGAATTTCGAAGATCCCCTGCGCGCCTGCGCAATTTCGAGGAGGTGCGGCGGGCCCCGCAAACCCTGCATCGCGCATTACAACATATAACAACGATCATCACACCACGACATCCATCACGACGTCCGTTCATGCATCAACGAGAACGACAACCTTCCCGAAGACCACCTTCGCTGAAAAAGCCCTCGCCACGCTTCGGGAAAACCTGAAAAACCTCAAACCCCGAACCCTTATCAGCCAGCCCAACAAACCCCACACCCTGTCCCTAAACCTCAGAACCTAAACTCCTAAAACCCAAGAACAAAAAACAAAAAAACCCTTGAACAAAAACAAGCACTAAACCCTAATCTCCAAACCCACAACACAAAACGCCCAAACCCAGACACCACCCATTTCGGGCCCCTGCGCTTGAAGCGGTAGCTCTGGAAAGCCTGCATGCCTGGGCTCTTAATAGGGGGTTTAGGGTTTAGGGGTTTAGGGGTTTAGGGGTTTAGGGGTTTAGGGGTTTAGGGGTTTAGGGGTTTAGGGGTTTAGGGGTTTGGGGGTTTAGGGGTTTAGGGGTTTAGGGGTTTAGGGGTTTAGGGGTTTAGGGGTTAACGGGTTAAGGGGTTAAGGGGTGCAGCGATTTAGGGTGTAGGGCTTTGGGTTTTGAGGTGTTTGAGGCTTGAGCGTATACCGGGCCCTTGTTGAGGTTCCTCCTGCTGTGTTGAGGGTTTGGGGTTTGGGGCTTGAGGCTTGGGATTTAAAGCTCAGCAGTCCCACTCAAGAGGGTCAGCCCGCGATGAAGTTAAGACACAGCGTGGAGTTTTGATCCTGCTGTGGCAATCCCTGCAGCACTCCTATGCATGCTAACTTGCGTCTGCAATTCTGCAACGCTGCATTATTGCACAGGCTGCCTAGTCTTCACCCAACTTACAAGAATTCCTCTCCAACTAGTCACAACCAACAATCCCAGACGATTCCCCTTAAACCCTCAAAACCCTCAAGAATAAGCTTCAAAAACTACAAGAAACTAAAACTCCCTAAGCCCTCAAAACCGACAGAAATTAGCTACACAAACTAAAAGAAACTAAAACATCTCTCAACTCCAAGATGCACTGTGCGGCCCATTGGGGGGTTTTGAAGTTCACGAAGGCGTAACCGACGTTCGACATGGTGCCTCTGGGGGCTTAGGGTTTCGGGTTCGGGGTTTAGGGTTTAGGGTTTAGGGTTTAGGGTTTAGGGTTATCGTTGCGTCTTGGGGTGCTTGGGTCCTTGTCCATACCTTTTTCTCGTCTTCTCTCTGAGGGTTTAGGGCTTGAGGGGTCTCTTCTCAATATTCTCTGAAAGCCTAGGGATTCTGGGGCATCTAGGCCCGATGCGCACCCGGAACCCTAAACCCGAAGTCCTTCATTCCCCACTACGAACCCAGGGGCCATTTAGGGTTCTGGAGATTCCCAGTTTGGAAACTCCCGTTGTAGGCACACCTTAGCGGGTGCCATGCATCTTGATTACCGCTCTTTTTTAGGCAAAGGCGAAGCCCTAAACCCGAAACCCCAATCCCCAAACCCCCAAACCCTAAACCCTAAACCCCAAACCCTAAACCCTAAACCCCAAACCCCAAACCCTAAACCCTAAACCCTGCTTTGACTGCTTGCAGCTGGCTCCAAGGTGCAGAGGCAACGGCAAGTGCTTTGAAGGTCAGGCCCTCCCTCAGCCCCGCAACCGAATCCTGAACGGACGCCCCCGAAAGGAACCAGCGAAACCGAAACCCGAAGCCCTAAACCCTAAACCCTAAACCCTGAAGGCGGAAGGCCATAAGCCTTGTTCCGCAAAAGCCCTAAGCCCAAAAGGATCCAGCAGGTTGGGTTTAGGGTTCAGTTCTAGTAGGGCTTTAAGGCTCGAAACCCAAAGACATCAACCCACCCTAAACCCTAAACCCTAAACCCCAAAACCCTAAACCCTAAACCCTAAACCCTAAACCCCAAGCCCGGTCCTTTGTCCAGCGGGCTGTAGAGGAAGTCAAACTTGTTCGCGAAGCCGAGCTCCTGTTTCGGAACAAGGTTTCAGGCTTGATGGTGGAACCCTCAACTCCTTAAGCCCGAGAACCCCCGAAACCCTAAACCCTAAACCCTAAACCCTCGAAGAGCGTTTGCACGTCGTGTTGAGAGCTAGCGAGACTTCCAACACCCCAAACCCCAAAATAACCCTAAAGCCCCTCACAAACCTCCCAAACCCCTAAACGCCTCACACACCCTAAAGCACCTAAACGCCACAAATCCTAAACCCTAAACCCTAAACCCTAAAAGCCCTAAACCCGGGAAGCCCTGTCCTCCAACTCCTGCATGAGCTCCCTCTGCGTGTAGCGGTTCGGGATGTTGCGGATCCTGTCGGCTTCTCATTTTGTGGCAAATTTTAGGGTTTAGGGTTTCGGGTTTCGGGTTTAGGGTTTAGGGTTTAGGGTTTAGGGTTTGGGTTTTAGGGTTTAGGGTTTAGGGTTTAGGGTTTAGGGTTTAGGGTTTAGGGTTTAGGGTTTAGGGCAGCTCTTTGGTGGGCATTCCGGTTTGTAGGGTTCAGGATTCGAAGCCTTTTTTAGGGGCTTTGTTAGGGGCTTTTTTGGGGGTTTTCAGGGGCTTTTGGGGGCTTGGGGTTTGGCGCTTTTGGGAGCTTAGGGTTTCGGCGCAGCTGGGTCAGCAGTGCCAAACTCAAAAAGCCACGCTATGTGCCTTCAGCTGCAACATGGTGCCCCAAAACACTTGTAGCACCAAATAACCCAACTTCCCAAAACCCGGAACCCAGAATGCCGAAACTAAACCCTAAACCCCAAACCCCAAAACCCTAAACCGACCGAGCGCCCGGCATCAGCGTCGTGATCTCTCCGGCGCTCTGGAACTCGGCTTGCAGGTTCACGTTCCTCAGCTGCGATCAGAGGAGGGCGTTTCGGGGGTTTAGGGCTTAGGCTTCAGGCTTCACGCGAGACTCTGCTTCAGGGTTTATTCTGGGTTTAGGCAGGGTTTAGGCAGGGTTTGGGTTCAAGGACCTGCCAGAATACAGTTTGGGGGGCTTTGAGGTAACCCCCTCAACCCCCCAAGCCCTAAACCCCAAACCCTAAACCCTAAACCCCAAACCCCAAACCCTAAACCCTAAACCCCAAACCCTAGGGCTACCGGGCTACGGGAGCGACTTTGTCGTTGGGCCTGGAAAGATGATCCGTCTAAAGCCACCGGGTTTGGAACTGAGGGTTTGGGCTTAGAGCTTAGCACACTCAGGGTTTAGGGTTTAGGGTTTAGGGTTAGGGTTTAGGGTTTAGGGATTAGGGTTTAGGGTTTAGGGCTTAGGGTTTAGGGCTTAGGGGTTAGGGTTTAGGGTTTAGGGCTTAGGGCTTAGGGCTTAGGGTTTCGGGTTTAGGGCTAGGGCCTAGGGCGCTGAGGGCTTGGGCGTTCAGGCTTTCCCTGTGTGTCCCGAAATTCCCTGAGATCCTAAACTCAATCCCCCCGACCTGTAGATCGCAGCTCCCCCAAACTCCAAACCCCAAACCCCAAACCCAGAATCCCGAAACTCCAAACCCCAAACCCCAAACCCAGAATCCCGAAACTCCTCAACTCAAGAATCTTCAAGGCCTAAAAGCCCTCAAAGCGCCTGAACCCGTAAAAGCCAGACTCTTGCAACCTTGAAAAAGCTAAAAAAAGCCCTAACAAACCTTAACAGGCGTGAAAACGCCCGAACAGCCCTTCAAGCCATTAAAAACACAAAGAAAAAACCCTTAACACCTTTAATGCCCTTAAGAGCTAAACCCTTAAAAGCCTTGAGACATTTAAACCCTCAACGCCTGTTGGCTCTTCCGTCACCCAGGCGCTTGGGCACACGGTTGTGCCGGCTCTCCCGCGGCAGGCCACGGGAAGACTTATCCTTGTATCCATAGCACTTGTCCTGCGACGGCTTCGCTTTTGGGCCCTACAGTTTAATGGACACTGCAACTTCAATCCTAATCTCTGAAGGGCTTAGGGCTGAGAGGACCTGAACCCTAGAGGGTTTAAGGTAAAGGGCGGAGGGGGTCGTAAACGCTAAACGGTTCGCGGCTTAGCCTTTAGGGGCTAGGGTCAAAGAGCCAGGGTGTAGGGTTTAGGGATTCAGCTTGCGAGTTCAGTACTTTTTGAGGTTTACGAGGTTCAGGAAGCGGGCTAAAGGGTCGCACATGAAGTATATCTCAAGGCCTTGGGTCTCTGCGGCTTGGAGATTGAAGGCCTTTAGGGCTCTGAAAGCCCACATACCTGAATTGGATTTCGGGTCTAGGGTCTAGGGTCTAGGGTCTAGGGTCTAGGGTCTAGGGTCTAGGGTCTAGGGTCTAGGGGGTAGGGTCTAGGGTCTAGGGTCTAGGGTCTAGGGTCTAGGGTCTAGGGTCTAGGGTTTAGGGTTTAGGGTTTAGGGTTCAGGGTTCAGGGTTAGGCAAGGCCAACCCCCACACATCCCACTTTGCATCCTGCGCCCACTGGGATGGCGACGGCATGGGCGTGTTGAAAGGCGAGCCATTGTAGCCCATGGGGGCACTCATTTGTTCAGCCTGGAATCCCTAAAACCTATACCCAAAACCGTGGCGCAGAGGGTTCAGAGTGTTGGGGTGGAGTGAGTCGGGGAAGGAATTCAAACATTAAAGGAACTGGGGGTTTAGGGTCTAGGGGAACTAGGGTTTAGGGTTTTGGGTCCAGGGGTTTAGGGCTTAGGGTTTGCTGGTTAGGTAGACAGAAGTAAAAGGCATGTTGAGGGTTGGCTGCGATAGTTGCCAGCTACTTCGGAATGAACAGTATCAGATACCGAGAACGTGGCCCAAGGGATCGTAATTCTCTGCTTTCTTGACAGTTCAGACGGATTTCTGCTTTCAGGTGTCAGGTGCTGAGCATCTTTCCGAGAAGTTTCCGGAAAGTGTTGATGCAGGCACTTGCACATTTCGTGTTGCTGTTTCCAGTATTCGGCCATCTCAGTTAGTCTGCAAGCTTCTCTGCTTTCCGCATTTCACAAGGCCTGCGCAACGTGCTTGTGTCAAGTTATTCAGCACCTACTCAGCATCACAGCTACGAAACTCAACTCTCCGGTCACACGCTTCCGTTGGAAATTTCCTCCCTCCCCGAACCAAGTGGTGCTGTGCCCTCTGGCACCATCTATTGCAGGTCTTCAAGCCATCCAGCTCAGCCACATCTTTTTTTGCAGTGCCACACGCACACTTCTTCCTTTCCATACTTGAATAGCAGCGTTTTGTGCTACAAGGCTTGTTGTTTGGACTATCAATCAAAGACACTTCTCAGTTTCTGCATCAAGAAAAGCCCAAACGCCCTGAAGTCTTTACAAGCGTTCGTCAGCCCTTACGATAAGCCCCTGTAATGACAAGCCCCTTTAGGCCCTTGTTACGCACCAGTGGGAGAAGAACAAACCTGAATCCTAAACCCTAAACCCTAAACCCTATACCCTAAACCCTAAACCCTAAACCCTAAACCCTAAAACCTAAACCCTAAACCCTAAACCCCAAACGCTGCCGCCCCGGCGGCCGGGTACCAGCTCGTCGGCCCGTAGAGGAGTGGCTCGGGGCCCCCCCAGCTGCCGCCGGAGTCGCTGCGCGCGTACCTTAGGGTTTCGGGTTTAGGGTTTAGGGTTTAGGGTATAGGGTTTAGGGCTTAGGGTATAGGGTGTAGGGCATAGGGTTTATGAGTTCGGGGCCCCTCAACTCGAAACCTAAATCAGTAGGAACCTGTTGGGGTTTAGGGTTTAGGCTTAGTAATTAGGGTACAGGGTTTAGGGTACAGGGTTAGGGTTTAGGGTTAGGGCTTAGGTTCAGGGGTATTGATTCACGGTTACACCGCCCGATTTTTGTTGTTACCATTTTTGGTGATAGAACATAATACGTTACTATACCAGCGTAGATGCTATATACATTCCTGTAGTGTTTGATTCACAATATTGCGCGATTAGACACATACATGTTCATATACATGTTCATATACATATACATATTCAAATTCATATACATATACATATACATATACATTTTCATATACATATACATATGCATATACATATACATGTACATATACATATGCGTATGCATATACAGCTTTGCTGTCAGATACAGCGATTGTATTTCATCCATACATGCAAAGGGGTGAGGGTTTAAGATGCCTCCAAGTTTTAATCTTGACTTTTTACATAGAAGTGGTTTATGAGTCGAAATTCACGTTCCAATGTATTATGTGTCATTCTGTATATCTCAGCTCGTACCTAGTCTTGCCTGGAACGCCTTCGTTTCTACAATGCATTGCTTGTAAGCGTTTAGGTTGCTTATAAGCACGGGGGGATGGGGGGGTTCATCCAACCTTACGCTTAAACCTCAATCGCTACACCCGATTGTTCCTAAAACTTATTCGGTTAATACTTAACCCAAACCCTTGTCCTAAACCTTACTCGAGTATTGTTGAAGATTTAGCGAACAAGGCTTCCTAGCTCGCTTAAGGTTTAGACCTAGACCGTCTTCGTTTAAAAGCTAATGAGGAAAAGAGGGAGCCATGTCCGCATGTGCATGTCAGGTTAATGGCCAGACCTAGCAAACAAGGCTTCCTAGCTCGCTTAAGGTTTAGACCTAGACCGTCTTCGTTTAAAACTTAATGACGAAAAGAGGGAGCCATTTCCGCATGTGTATTTCAGGTTAATGGCCAGATCTTGTTCCTAATTAAGCCTTGCACGACGAAAGGGGTTCTATAGGAAGCCGTAAAATGGTAACTACCTTCAACCTTTCTAGCCCTAAACCCTGAACGCTAGACCCCCTTTTTGGAAACGCCAACCCCTAAACCCCTAACTCTAAACGCTAAACCCCTGTTTTTGAAGCCTTAAACCCTCAAACCCTAAACCCTACACCCCCAAACCCCAAACCTTACTCCTCGAAACTCCTCGGTGCTTATCCCAAAACTTTGCCCGGACCTGAACCCTCAACAACAATGACAAATCCGAAACCCTAAACCCTACACCCTAAACCCTAAACCCTAGCCCTAAACCCTAAGCCCTAAACCCTAAGCCCTAAACCCTACTAACACCGTTCCGTGGTGCCGTTCCTTGGCTGACCATTTCTTCTCATCCCAAGGCTTCCCTGGCTCCTGCTTTCTTTCGGGCTTCTTGGAGGGGGAGGGGATGCTGAGGGTTTTTTTCGGCTCGTAGGGCTTCAGCTTTAGGGTTTAAGGTTTAGGGCTAGGGTTTAGGGTTTAGGGTTTAGGGTTTAGGGCTTAGGGCTTAGGGCTTAGGGCTTAGGGCTTAGGGCTTAGGGCTTGGGGCTTAGGGCTTAGGGCTTAGGGGCGTGGGGGTTTAGGGCTTAGGGCTTAGGGCTTCGGGTTTAGGGTTGAGAGCTCGGGATCCTGAGCTCGGGATCCCTAAGCCCCCCTAAACCCCCCAACCCCCCCCCAAACACCCTGGATATCCTACCCTAAACCCTAAACCCTAAACCCTAAACCCTAAACCCTAAACCCTAAACCCTAAACCCTAAACCCTAAACCCTAAACCCTAAACCCTAAACCCTACCCTAAACCCTCAACCTTACACCCTGAAACTTTTGGGAGTTTTAGGGAGTTTTTGTTTTGGGTTTCTTTTTTGGGCTGGCTCGACCTGTCGTGAGGAAGCCTTCCCTAAACCCTAAGTCCGAAACCCTAAACCCTAAACCCTCAACCAACCCGACCTCTTCAATAGTCAAGTCGAACTCCACGGGGCTGTCGTCACGGTCTTCGGTAAAGCAGTCCTTGGATCCAAAAGGCCCTGGAAACCCTAAGCCCTCCCTAAACCCTAAACCCCAACCCTTAAACCCTAACACCCAGTGCTTCTCAAACCCAGGACTTCCCATGAAAAACCCCGGACGAACCCGAAACCTCGAAACCTCCCCCTGCCCCCAGAGTTGGGGGTTTTAGGGTTCCGGGGTTTAGGGTTTAGGGTTTAGGGTTTGGGGTTTGGGGTTCTACGTTTTCGAGAGGTTCGGGTGGCTTAGGATCTAGGGCTTAGGCTGAGGAATTAGCCTTCGGAGGGGACACAGCTACCAAACACGGGAGATAAAGCTTGCCGGGAACCCCGATCCTGTCTGGACATTGCATACTCCTAAACCCTAAACCCTAAACCCTAAACCCTAAACCCTAAACCCTAAACCCTAAACCCTACGACCCTACTCCTACGCAAGGTCCTTGGATGCCTACCCAAAAACCGCCGAACGGGACTGCCCGCTGGGCTTCGAGCTGCGTCTGGTATTAGGGGTGTCACTTGGGATGTTCCTTCTGGGGCCATCAGGGTTTAGGGTTTAGGGTTTAGGGCCTGGGGTCTAGGGTTTAGGGTCGAGAGATGTGTAGAGTTTCGGGCTTAGGATTTTAGAGTCTAGGATTTACGGTTTAGGGTTCAGGGTTGGGATGCTCCCCCTTATACTGACAGTCCTTCGTAGGGATTCTAGTACCCCCGATTTTAATCCCGGAACCCTAAACCCTAAACCCTAAACCCTAAACCCTAAACCCTAAACCCCCTTTTTCAGGACTGTTAGTATAAGGGGGAACATTCCAAGGTGTCACGAGGGTGCTTTGGGCGACCCGCAGGTTCCCAGACTTTGTGCATAGCAACAAAAACAAACCAAGGCTCCCTAAACCCTAAACCCTAAACCCTAAACCCTAAACCCTAAACCCTAAACCCTTAGGGTAATACTGACTAACAATCATGAATGACAATACTAACTCGAGGGCAAAGCCGATGACAACAAAAGCTGGCCTGGACTGACGCCAATATGGGTTAGACACACCGCACACCATGTCCGCCACCGCTGCCACTAACGCCCTCCGCACTCCCACCACACACCCCACACCGCCACACATGCGCTCACGGAGACCACGATCGATCCACATCCGTGGAGCTCTCTGAAACACGCGCGTCTCACAGACTGCGCCCTCATACAGACCGCGATCTATATCGCAACGACCGTGCATCTATCGCGGTGACCCCCCCCCCTTGTTGAACTCTTTAACGTCAATTTAGAGAGAATTGCCAATAATTCAAGAAATGGCGACGCCCCCGCCCCCCCCATTCTCTCTCTCGAGGATTTTTGGAGCCTAAAGTGCTCCCAATGCACCCAGCTTCCAGAGCGTTTCGGCGGCCAAACCTCATCAAAACTTTCGGTACGGACCCAAGTACCCTCGTAATGCCTCGTAATGCGACCCATGAGCCTCCAACCCCTATGAAGCCCAAAAGGATTTCGGGTTTAGAGTTTAGGGTGTCGGGTTCCCGAATCACTGGAGCTGAAGCAGGGGCGCAGTCATGATGGAGCCGTTGGAGAAGGCACGCGAGCGGTTGGCTTCGAATGAGGTCATGGTGCCTGGGCTTCGGGTGTTTAGAGGGCTTAGAGGGTCCACTGAGAGGTTCTGTTTTACAGGGGGTTAATAGTTCCTGGTTTATTGCTGTGGGGTTTGGGTATGGGCCTTATACTCCCTTTCTGCCCTATTCAATCCAGGGGCCCATACTTCAGAACTCTTTGAAGGAGGTAAGGGACCATATTCAGTAGCCATGTAACTTCCCTTAAAGAGCTTAGTACTCGGGACACCGAGCCCCATGTCCTCCCCCATGAATCCCTGATACAAACCCTAAACCGTAAACCCTAAACTCTAAACCCTAGCCCTAAAACCGAAACCCTAAACCCCTATAAACCCTAAACCCACCCCCTGAAACGCCGAAGACCATAACATCCCCCCCCCCAAAAAAAAAAACAAGGCAAACCACCCTCAAGCCCCCACAAAGGCTCCAAACCCTACAGCCACCCGCCCACCTGCCCACCCACCCACACACCCCAAAAAAATAGAAAACAAAGTACATATATATATATATATATATATATTTTTTTTTCAATGTAGTCGGAAACCTGCAGCGCTCCATGACAAATCAACAGGTAGATCAACAGTTGCTTCTCACGATCGAAATTAGGGAAGTGAGGGTTAGGGCCGGGTTTAGGTTTTAGGGTTTAGGGTTTAGGGTTTAGGGTTTAGGGTTTAGGGTTTAGGGTTTAGGGTTTAGGGTTTAGGGTTTAGGGTTTAGGGTTTAGGGTTTAGGGTTTAGGGTTCACGTTGTCGGTTCTTTGTCTTTACGGGTTTAGGATTTCTAGGGTTCTGGGCTACAGGGATGTAAGCTTGCACAGGGCACAGGGATCTTCTTCTCACTTTCCCCTCGCTTGCTAGGCAACGTCTGCTGCACCTACCGCAGCTGATCCTGCACCTCACTGCTGTCACCACCAGAGCCGGCATGACCCCAGGTGACCACTGACCCATCACCCAGGATGGCAGCAAACGCGAAGCCAGAAGTTTGGATCTGCTGCACACCCCGCAGCTGATGCTGCACCGTACTGCTGTCACCACCCCAGTCGGCACCGCCCCAGGTGACCACAGATCCATCACCCAGGAGTGCAGCAAATGCCCGATAAGAAGCCTGGATCAGCTGCACATTCTTCAGCTGCCCCTGCACCGCGATGCTGTCGCCACCCAGCTCTCGATTCCCCCAGGTGACCACAGATCCATCACGCAGGATTGCTGCAAATGCACCATGAGAAGCTTGGATCTGCTGAACATTTTTCAGCTGCTCCTGGACACCACTGCTATCGCCTCCATAGCCTGTATCGCCCCAGGTGACCACAGATCCATCACCAAGGATTGCAGCAAATGCAAGATTGGAAGCCTGGATCTGCTGCACATCGCGGAGCTGATCCTGCACCTCGCTGCTGTCGCCACCAGCCCGAGGCAGACCCCAGGCGACCAGAGATCCATCGTCCAGGATGGCAGCAAACACGCGTTTAGAAGCCTGGATCTGCTGCACATGTCGCAACCGATGCTGTACCTTACTGCTGTCGCCACCATTGTCGGCAGAGCCCCAAGTGACCACAGATCCATCACTCAGGATTGCAGCAAATGCTTCTGAAGCAGCTTGGATCTGCCGCACATCTCGCAACTGGTCCTGTACTATGCGGCTGTCGCCACCGCATTCGGCACTACCCCAGCTGACCACAGTTCCATCGCCGAGGACTGCAGCAAAGGCCCCGCTAGAAGCTTGGATCTGCTGCACATTCTTCAGCTGCGCCTGCACCGCGAAGCTGTCGCCACCCTGGTCTCGACTCCCCCAAGTAACCACAGATCCATCATCCAGGATTGCAGCAAATGCCGAATCAGAGGCTTGGATCTGCTGCACTTTCTGCAGTTGCTTCTGTACTGCACTGCTGTCGCCACCACATGTTTCGTGCCCCCAGGTGACGACAGATCCGTCAACCAGGATTGCTGCAAATGCACCACCAGAAGCTTGGATCTGCTGCACGTTCTTCAAGCGCTCGTCGCCAGCGCTGATGCCTCCCACTTGGGAATTACCCCAGGTGACCACAGATCCATCACCATCCCCCAGCACTGCGGCAAACGCAAGACAAGATGACCCTTGCCTGGTGGCTTGAATCTGGACTGGGTTCACTTGTAGAGTGAGCACGTCTCCACTCTGCAATCCCGCCTCAACAACGGTTTTAGCTGTGTCGAGGACTTCTCCAGAAGAATTCAGCAGCCTCCCTCTACGCTTGGCCAGAGCCCTCTGGGCACGCCGCTTCAATGACTTCACGGATGCATCCAACTCTACTTCCAAGAAGGCGCGCTTGCCACTCAGCAGATGCACGTCCACAGAAATCGGCATGATTCTTCGTAGGGCGGCCGCTGCAATTGCGACCCTAAACCGTAAATAAAACACAGTGGCCTAACCCAAAGGCTCTGCTGACCTCGTTGCAACATCCTCGCACTGCTTAAGAATTGTAAGGGATGTGTATGAGTGGTCTTTTCATGAACCCCATCCTACATGTATTGATGGTCCACTGATGGTAGGTTTAGGATCCAGAGTGCTGCAACGAGAGTGCACAGCAAAGGCAGTCTACAGCCACACCCTAAGCCCTAAACCCTAAACCAGCCCTAGACCCCAACCACAACCGGTGTGGACCCTCGTGTCCCTGACGTTTAGGGTTTCCATAGGACCCTAAACTTAAACCCCACTCTAAGGGCTTAGGGAGTTGGATTCCCTGACTTCGGGGCCCCACAGCTAGTTTTCAGAAGCTGTGACTCGTAGCAAAGGCGAGCGCCTTTGTATGACGGCCGTCACTAAACCCCCCAAAGTCAGTTTCTTCAGTGTGGGAAAGAGCCCGTGGTAAGTCGACAACCTCGTACTTGCAGAACCTCAGATGTACAAACCTGGACATCCTATTCCAAAATCCCACAAAGCCCTCACAAAAGCCTGAGACGGCCAAACTGCTAACCCGAAACCCCGAAACCCCAAACTGCGAAATTCCGGGTACGAGTTGGAATTACGGGGACCCGTGGGGATATAGACCCTCTCCCTTTTGAGAGAACCAAAAGGAGACTGTGCCCCGCAGACAGCGCGCTAGTCTCCGCAAATGTTGGTTCTAATTACTTTTTGTGGGTTTTTGTGGGTGTTACGGTATTTCGTGCAGCATGTACTTTGTTTGGTTCCGTCTCCATGTCACAGTCTCCCCCAAAACCGAGAAAACAACCAAAAGTATTTTACTTCGAACATCCCCACCCTCTCTTGGTAGAGATACTCTGGTGTTGGGCACTCCAGGGACACTCTGGGGCTGGGCACTCCGGGGACACTCTGGGGTTGGGCACTCCAGGCGACTCTGGGCAATTCAGGGCGACTCTGGGCACTAGGGAAACTCTGGGGCTGGGCACTCCGGGAACAATCTGGGTTGGGCAACTCAGGGCGACTCTGGGAGTGCGGGGAGACTCTGGGCTGGGCTCCGGGAACAGGAGACTCTGGGTTTGGGCATTTCAGGGAGAATCTGGGGCTGGGCACGCGAATACTTCCAAGTTCCCCGCAAACAAAAGCATTTCCAACCCCGAATATCAAGAAATCATGTTTGCTCATAGTATTCTCGCAATTCGGGCTTACATATATGTTTTACATGTCATGCTATGCCCTCGAATGCTTCTTCGTCTTATGCTTTGAGGATTAACATCCTTTCTTCTCGATTATCTGTACATCCTTGTCGGTTATCTGCATTTGAGATCCAATACATATTGCCCTGTATACATATATGACGTGGGTAGTTCTGTTACCTTCTCTTTGTGTTTCCATTGGCCTCAGTTCAGTGTCGCACCTCAGGCTTCTCTTCTGCTTGTATGGAGAGGTTGATCTTGAGGTCGGTCTTGGGGCTCAGGCTTGTCTTCTGTTCTTCTGGAAAGGTTGATCTTGAGGTCGGCTTTTGGGGGGGAGGGTTACTATATATATATATATATATATATATATTATATATATATATATATATTGTTTGAGTCAAAAAAACATAACACTCACGGCAGATCCGCGCGGCTCACGGAGGCGTTGGAGCCGTTGCGATCTATGCCTTTGCCGTCGACGTGGAGCGCCTCAGGGGTTTGGGGTTTGGGGTTTGGGGTTGAGGGTTTAGGGTTTAGGGTGTAGGGTGTAGGGTGTAGGGTTTAGGGTTTAGGGTTTAGGGTCATAGGGTTTAGGGTGTAGGGTGTAGGGTTTAGGGTTGAGGGTTGAGGGTTGAGGGTTGAGGGTTGAGGGTTGAGGGTTGAGGGTTGAGGGTTGAGGGTTGAGGGTTGAGGGTTGCGGGTTGAGGGTTGAGGGTTGAGGGTTGAGGGTTGAGGGTTGAGGGTTGAGGGTTGAGGGTTGAGGGTTGAGGGTTGAGGGTTGAGGGTTGAGGGTTGAGGGTTTAGGGCGGAGGGCCTCCAGAAATTCAAAAAACCAAAAACCTCAAGGCATGGAGGGCCCAGGGTCTCGGGAGCCCTTCGCCCCTTCGGGCTTCGGGCTTCCGGGTTTGGGGTTGGGGGTTTAGGGTTTAGGGTTTAGGGTGTAGGGTGTAGGGTTGAGGGTTTAGGGTTTAGGGTCTGAATTTAGGGTTTAGGGTTTAGGGTTTAGGGCTTAGGGCTTAGGGTTTAGGGTTTAGGGTTTAGGGTTTAGGGTTTAGGGTTTAGGGTTTAGGGTTTAGGGTTTAGGGTTTAGGGTTTAGGGTTTTGGGTTTAGGGTTTAGGGTTTAGGGTTTAGGGTTTGCTGTGATAGGGCGTAGGTGCTGTGAAGGTTAGGTTTCGAACAAGCTCGAAAGCTTCGTGAGGTGCGAAGAGCAGCTCTGGCCCGATTGTGGAGGGCCATCTAACACTTTTCTCCCGCCCCGCGCCGTCCGAGGCGGCAAAGCCACCCAAACCTATTCCTTTTAGGGTTTAGGCCTAAACTCAAGGCAACAGTCCACTTTTAAAAACTGATTCAGTTTCATGAAGTCGGGTTGGGTCCGACACCAAGCAGGTCCCACCAGGGCCACGGGCAGAGGAACCAGGCAGCCCAAGCGGTCAGGGATGCTGGGGTTTAGGGTAATGACTTTAATAAGGGATCAGTACTTGTCCGAGGAGAACGTGCTCCGGTACCGGGCCCATCGTGGGTGCCACCGACCTCCGAGCTGTGGGAGGCGGGCGAACGACCTAGGTCGGCTTGCGCCATGGAGGTCAAGGGGCTTAGGCCCCGTCCCCCAACGTAGGGGGGCGGCCTAGGCCTTGAGTTTAGGGCTTAGGGTTTAGGGTTTAGGGTTTAGGGTTTAGGGTTTAGGGTTTAGGGTTTAGGGTTTAGGGTTTAGGGTTTAGGGTTTAGGTTTCGGGTTTTGAAGTTTGGGCATTGGTGCTTGTAGGGTTTCTGGGGCTGTTAGGGTTCAGGCACCCACCCTCTTGCCGCCAAGGAGACAGCTTCCGTACTGGCCAATGCATCGGGCTGGCCTGGGAGAGCTTGTAAACCCGAAATCTGAGGGCAGATACATGGTCCCTTGGTATGGGCCCTGAAAAGGGTGCCCCTAAACCCTAAACCCCTAAACCCTAAACCTTAAACCCTAAACCCTATGCCCTATACAAATTAAGGACCCTTACATCAGAACCCTGTAAAGGAGGTCAGAGACCATACTAAGGGCCCATGAAACTACCCTCAGACTGTCCTCCCCACGGGCTTGGGACTATCTATCTGCCCTTTTTGGGCTAATATAGGTTTTAGGGCTGCCGGGTCTGGCATAAGATGTAAGGATTGACTGCGAGATTGACTACAAATTCAGGCTCTATGATGTCGTGAGGCACTTGATGCTTGAGGGCTTCTGCAGGTTTCATAGGATCCTAACCCTCGCCTCAGGTCTACATGGAGGCTCATGGAGGCTAGTCGCAAGCGAACGTTAAAGGGTATAAACCCTTAATCATAATCCCCGATATAACCCTTGTATATATACATATATATATATATATATACCTTCTCTAGTCCCTACATACCTAGGTAGCCCCTAAATCACCCCCAAGCAGCCCCAGGGTCCCTTATACGGGTCCCTCCCTTAGCCTCTATTGAGAACTTGAGAACAGCCGACACCACACGTCCGGCGCTTCTCGATTGTGGGGGTCCCGTTTCGGGCTCGTTTAGGGTGTAGGGGTATATATTAGGGTTTAGGGTTTAGGGTTTAGGGTAATGATTGTATCGGATCCTGACATTTAGGGTGCACAAAAACCTTCAAAAAACAACCCTACACCCTAAGCCACAAGCCCTAAACACGAGAACCCGAAGCGATGCCCACACGCAGCAGAACAACAGATGTCGAAAGAACCCTTGTCTACAGCTATTGACACGGCACGTTTTGGGTTTAGGGATTAGTGTTTGGAGACTAAAAATTTCAGGGTTTATGATTAGGCCATCAGACTCTGCACAACCTCAACCCCCAACCCTGAACCCCAAAGCAGTACTGAAGACCCACATTCACTGGGCGTTGACTAACGGATGTGGGGCCCGTGTATCGTCGCCAGAAAAGCCGCGCTCTCTGGGTTCAGGGTTGAGAGAGTAAATGGTTCATCCCAGCGGCAGACTTGCTGCAGCTTCTCCTTGAGCTTTTGCCTGAGGAACGCACGGATGCTCAGGACAGTTTAAGCTAGACCCCCTGCTACAACAATACAGTATAGGCGTCGGAATAAATGCTAATGTTGTTTCCTTATGGTCCCTATAACTATACTATGACAACCCCCAAAACCCCCATTCTAAATTTTCAAGGCCCCTATATTAGTCCCAGTTAGAATGCGAACGAGCTCTATTGCAACTCCTTCCTGAAATCCGTGACTACTGTGTGGGAGCCGACCTTGAGCAAAGGTAACAGAAGTGTGTCAAGCCGATGCCTTACTTCCCAAAGCCTGCCAAGCTTCCCAAAGCGTTCCTAAAACCCAACCATCCCTAAACGCCAAACCTCCCTAAACCCCACACATTCCCCGAAAACCTAAACCCTCAACCTCCCCCAACATCCAAAAAGCCTTGTAACCCCAAATGCCAGCAAGAAGCCACCCCCCCCACCTCACCCAGAATCCCCCCCCCCCGGCATCCCTGAACTCCCTGAACCCTGAACCCTGAACACCACTACACCTGTTAGGGTTTCGGGCCAAACCTTAACCCTGAACTCTAAACCCCCATGAAAAGTTTCCGGGTTAGTGTTTAGCGCAAGACCTTAGTCCTGAACCCTAAACCTCTAAACCCTAAACCCCTAAACCCTAAACCCTACACCCTAAACCCTAAACCCTAAACCCCTAAACCCCTAAACCCATTGAAAAGGCCGCGAGGCAACTCCGAGACGCACGACTTCCCCGCGGGCTCACGCAGCGCGGACGCCTGGCTTCTTAGGGTTTAGGGTTTAGGGTTTAGGGTTTAGGGTTTAGGGTTTAGGGTTTAGGGTTTAGGGTTTAGGGTTTAGGGGTTAGGGTTTAGGGTTTAGGGTTTAGGCTTCAGCAGCTCATGTACTAGCTTTCGCTAGTCAAGCTTTTTCTTCGTGTGATGGAGAAGTACCCACCCACCCAGAGAATCCCATAACATGAAGATTACATACACTTCCAATTTTCAGCTGCACCTTAAACCCTAAGCCTTAAGCCAAAAACTCTACCCATAAACCCCTGTTGAAACGCTGATATCCCAAAGAAGGAGGGCGCGGGAGAGGGGGGAAGGGAAGGGGGGTTGGAGGGGGTGGGGTGGGAGGGGGGGTGAAGGGGTGGCGGAGGGGGGGGGGGGGGGGGGGGGGGGGGGGGTGTGCCTTGGCCAGCACAAACCTAGTGGGCAATGCACATACCTTCGTGGGCAAGGCACAAACCTTGGTGGGCAAGGCACAAACCTTGGTGGGCAAGGCACAAACCTTGGTGGGCAAGGCACAAACCTTAGTGGGCAAGGCACCACTATGGCTTCTGCCTTGCCCACTATGGCGTGTGCCTTGCACATTATGGTGTGCCTTGCCCACTAAGGTTTGTGCCTTGCCCACGAAGGTTTGTGCGTTGCCCACGAAACCCGTTAGGGTTTATATCTGTATATATATATATATACATACATACATACATACATACATACATACATACATACATACATACATACATACATACATACATACATACATACATACATACATAGGAAGAGAGGTTTAGGGTCTAGGGTCTAGGGTTTAGGGCTCAGAGTTTTGGCTTTTGAGGGCTTGAAACTGTTCACCTAAAAGATGTGGAAAACAAAATCTGGGCACCCAACAAAGGTCTGCTCGGTCCGGTATGAATGAAACACGCCTGAGTGCATTGGTTGAGGCACGAACTAGCCGCGCCGAGACTGCTTAAGAGCCGGAGCAATGCAGAGGAAGAAAAGGGAACCGGCTGCACGTGGCCCTGGCCAAAAGGGCCTGCCTTGGGAGAAAGCGGAACGAGAGTGGGGGTGAGTTTCAGCAGGGCGAGGGCCTGAAACCCGAAGCCCTTGAGGGGTGGAGGCGTCTACGATGGCGCGCGCCGCAAGGAAGCGCGAAAGCGAGGAGCCGAGGCGAGGGAAGCCGGGGAGTGCCAGGTGCGCAGGGCAGAGTGGGTGCCTTGCGTTTCGCGCCCTGAACCCTAAACCCTGAACCCTAAACCCTAAACCCTAAACCCTAAACCCTAAACCCCTGGGGGTTGAGGGTTTAGGGTAGTGTAGTATGCAAGCGCTTGTGGCGCTTGCTGCGGTCTGGTTGCGGGTTCAGGCTTTAAGGCTCAGGGTTGTATAGGCCTCTTTTTCAAGGGGTCTCAGGGTTGAGGGTCACGGGTTTCGGGTTTGGGGGGGGGGCTTTGGGCTTCGGGCTTATGTGGGATTGCCAGGGTTTCTGCAGCAGGTAATACCGATAACTCACTTAAGATGCCAACAAGTTCGAATCGATAGCGTGGTGAGGCCATGCATGAGCCGAATAAATATTGAATACTCACTCAAGCCTTGTCTGGGAGGTGGAGGGCGCTAGTAATGTACAGGGTTTGCTGCTGTGGTTGAGTGTCGTGGGCGTGCCATCTTCCACACAAAGGTACCGAGGGACCTGCTTGGGGCGCAGGTTCGAGTGTGGACTTCGTTTGTTGTTTGTTGGGGGGTTTAGGGGTTTAGGGTTTGGGGTTTAGGGGTCTAGGGTTTAAGGTTTGGGAGTGCAACCACTAGATTCCTGCGGAATGTATTGGGCTCTATAAGGATTAGGGCCAGCAGAACTTCAAGACTTGAATAGATGTTGGCGTTCAGGGGCTCCTTGAACATGTTGGGGGTATCCCTAGAAGCCCCTCCAAAACCACCCTAAACCCTAAACCCTAAACCCTAAACCCGAAACCCTAAACCCTAAACCCTAAAACCGAGGTGGAGGATGGAAGATTTGGGGGTTTGGGGTCTGAACCACGCAGGCCCAGCGCTCAACCCCCGCAGGCAGCACCGGTAGGGCCCCGTAGCTGCCAAGCTCGATCCATCCTGGTCGGTCGACATTTTTCCTAAACCCTAAACCCTGAACCCTTCACCCGAAATTCATTCCTAAGCCCTAAACCCTGAACCCTTCACCCGAAATTCATTCCTAAGCCCTAAACCCTGAACCCTTCACCCGAAATTCATTCCTAAACCTAAACCCTGAACCCTTCACCCGAAACTCATTCCTAAACCTAAACCCTGAACCCTTCACCCGAAATTCAATTCCCAAACCCTAAACCCTGAACCCTTCACTCTAAAGTCGCGTGTAAATTCAAGCCTGAATGCGAATGCCAAATCGAAGCCGACTCCTAGGCCTCCCAAAGCCTCTTACCACGCAAGCATGCCAACTCGGAGCCAGTTTAGGGTTTAGGGTTTAGGGTTTAGGGTTTAGGGTTTAGGGTTTAGGGTTTAGGGTTTAGGGTTTCGGGTTTCGGGTTTAGGGGGCCTCTGAGGTCTCCCATAGCCTCCTGGAGGTTGGGGCATGGGGTTTAGGGGCCGGGGTTTGAGGCATAGGGTTTGAGCCCTAGGATTGGGGGTTTCGGGGCCTTACGGCCCTATGGACTCAGCGACCTCTATATTTTCTCAGTGTTCTGGGATTCTTTTTGGCGGTCCAACGCTCGATGATTTGCTTGACTAGGGAATGCTTGGACTTGAAATGCTGAACCCTACACCCTAAATCCTCAACCCTAAACCCTAAACCCTAAGCCCTAAACGCGGGGGGGTGGGGAGGGGGTGGGGGGGGGTTCCAGAAACCCAAATCGCCAGAACCCTGAACCTTCGAGGTCCTCCAGAACGTCAGCCGAGGAAAAACACCCACACAGGGTTTAGTGTTTAGGGTTTAGGGGTTAGGATTTTTGGGTCTTATAGCCTATAGGGCTTAGGGCTTGGGACGCCCCTTTTAAAGAACATAGGAACATGACCTTAACCCCCCCCCCTCTCAACACTTTGAAAAGCCCCCGATCCTGCACTGCCTGAACCCAAGGCAAGCTGGTTCAGGTTTCAGGTTTTAGGGGCTTCGGGTTCAGGCTTCCGGGTTCAGTGGGGACTCTCATGGGTGCCATTTAGGGTCGGGGGGGTTTGGGGTTTAGGGTTTAGGGTTTAGGGTTTAGGGTTTAGGGTTTAGGGCAAGGGGCTTAGGCACTTGGCGGGTCTAGGGGTCAGGTGGCAGCCGCCTCCCACGTCCATGCTTTCAGAGCTCGAGTCCTTGACACTGAGAAGTTAGGGTTTAGGGTTTAGGGTTTAGGGTTTAGGGTTTAGGGTTTAGGGTTTAGGGTTTAGGGTTTAGGGTTTAGGGTTTAGGGTTTAGGGTTGGGAGGGTTTAGGGTTTAGGGTTTAGGGTTTAGGGTTTAGGGTTTAGGGTTTAGGGTTTAGGGTCTTTTGGTAAAGTCTGGCGGCCTTTAGGGCTTGAGGTGTTACTTAGCGGTTTTGGGGGCTTCAGTTCTTCTGATATAGACTTCCTAAACCTCCTTGACTTCCTAGATTCCCCTTTGGGTTCACGGTCTCAGGTTGAAGGCTTTGGGCTTAGAGCTTAGGTTCAGGGTTTAGGGTTTAGGGTCTAGGGTTTAGGGTCTAGGGTTTAGGGCTTAGGGTTTAGGGTTTCGGGTTTAGGGTTCAGGGTGTAGGGTTTAGGGTTTAGGGTGTAGGGTTCAGATGTTTGGAAGGTCTTAGAAGCATTCCAGTCCTCGCTCGAGGGCGGCGTCGCTGTGCCCGCGGGCGTCGTCTTCATCGGGGAGCGGGCCTCGCGAACTGCGTCCTCTGCTGTTTGGGTGCCTTTCAGGATTTAGGTTTTAAGGTTTGGGGTTTAAGCTGTAGGGTTTAGGGTTTAAGGTTTAGGGTCTAAGGTTTAGGGTTTAGGGTTTAAGGTTTAGGGTTTAGGGCCTTTAGGGCCTTTTGGGGCCGTTTTGGGCCTTTCAGGGCCTTCAAAGCCTTTAGGGCTCGGGGCGCAAACCCTTCCACCCAACGCTCTTGTTATGTTGGGAGGGGGGGGGCCTGAACCCTGGGTTGGGCCAAAGCTTGGAGGGTTTTAGGGTTTAGGGGTTCAGGGGTTTAGGGTTTAGGGTTTAGGGTTTAGGGTTGAGGGTTTAGGGTTTAGGGGTTCAGAGGTTTAGGGTTTAGGGTTAGGGTTCATGGCCCGTGGGGTTTGGCCCCTGGGTTCCACCCAAAAACCCCAAAGTCCTTGTCAGATTCCAAGATCCGGTTGAGCTTCCTGATCTGCTCGCCTGGGGTTTAGGGTTTAGGGTTTAGGGTTTCAGGGTTCAGGGTTCAGGGTTCAGGGTTTAAGGCTTAGGGTTTAGGGTTTAGGGTTTAGGGTTTCAGGGTTTCAGGGTTCAGGGTTCAGGGTTCAGGGTTCAGGGTTTAGGGTTTAGGGTTTCAGGGTTCAGGGTTCAGGGTTCAGGGTTTAGGGTTTAGGGTTTAGGGTTTCAGGGTTCAGGGTTCAGGGTTCAGGGTTTAGGGTCGAAGATTGAAGATCAGGGTTCAAGGTTTCGGCTTGCTGGGGGACGCAGCCTTCAAAGGCTTGGCATCAAGTCCCTCCAACCCGTGGCAGACCCAAGTGCAGGGCTTCGAGTCGAGGGGTTTGGGGGTTCAGGTGAAGGATTTGGGGCTAGGGGCTGAAAAGTTCATGTGTAGAAGTGCCTTCAGGAGGGTTTAGGGTTTAGGGTTTAGGGTTTAGGGTTTAGGGTTTAGGGTTTAGGGTTTAGGGTTTAGGGTTTAGGGTTTAGGGTTTCCGAACATCAGGTTTAGGGCTTGTGGGGTTCAAGGTTTGTAGGATTTAGGGTTCACAAATGTAGGCACGGTAGTGGGGTAAGATGTTGCCGGGCGCCCCGCCCAACGTCCTGCGAAATGCCAAGCCCCTAAAAGCCCTCACGGTTCAGGATTTGGACTGGACTCTATAAACCCTCTAAACCCTCTAAACCCTCTAAACCCTCTAAACCCTCTAAACCCTCTAAACCCTCTAAACCCTCTAAACCCTCTAAACCCTCTAAACCCTCTAAACCCTCTAAACCCTCTAAACCCTCCAAACCCTCTAAACCCTCTAAACCCTCTAAACCCTCTAAACCCTCTAAACCCTCTAAACCCTCTTAAACCCTCTAAACCCTCTAAACCCTCTAAACCCTCTAAACCCTCCCAACCCTCTAAACCCTCTAAACCCTCCCAACCCTCTAAAACCTCTAAACCCTAAACCCTAAACCCTAAACCCTCAACCCTAAACCCTCAACCCTAAACCCTAAACCCTAAACCCTAAACCCTAAACCCTAATTTCCGGGGTCCGAGAGAGGGGAAGTCCCAGGCGCTCTCCCCGTCATCCCTGCCGAGGCTTCCCTGGCGCAGTGCCCGCTTTGAGGGCTTAGGGCTTGGGGTTTGGGGTTTCGGGTTTAGGGTTTAGGGTTTAGGGTTTAGGGTTTAGGGTTTAGGGTTTAGGGTTTAGGGTTTAGGGTTTAGGGCTCAGCGGGTAGGGGACTGAGGGCTAAGGGCCCTAATTCGGCATTCAAGGCTTGGGGCTTTTTAGGGGGGTTCAGGAGCTTCCAGAAAACCGTCGAATGAGGGTTTTGGGGTTTTGGCGTTTTGGGGTTTTGGTGGTTTTTGGGTTTCGGGGTTTCAGTGTTTTGGGGTTTCGCGGTTTTGGGTTTTTGGGGTTTTGGGGTTTGGGGGTTTGGGGTTTTGGGGGTTTGGGGTTTTGGGTTTTGGGGTTTGGGTTTTGGGGGGTAAGGGTTCTGGGGTTTTGGGGCTTTGGGGCTTTGGGGTTGTGGGGTTTGAGTTCAAGCCCTACTTTACTTCTCACAGCAGTTGCGAGTAACCTACATAGGGCCGTCAGTGCGGGTCATCTTACGTATGACCCTGCTCTTTGCGGGCGAAAGCTCACTGCCCGAAACTCCTACCCCTAAAACCCTAAACCCTAAAGCCCCTAAACACCCTAAACCCTAAACCCTAAACCCTAAACCCTAAACCCTAAAGCGTCCCTAAAGCCCCTAAACACCCTAAAACCCCTAAAACCCTGGAGCCCCAGAGGCCCCAAAGCCCGTGGTTGGGACACAAGCAAGAGGGGTGTAGGGGGGCCTAAAGACCCCTCGAATCGACGCCTTAAGTCTGGCCTACCTTAATACCCTAAACCCAAATACCTAAACCCTAAACACGAAACCCTAAACATAAAACCCTAAACCCTACTCAGCGGGATATGGGCCGAAGGTTTGGGCCGCAAGGGCCTTGCGCTCCGAGTCTGGGGTTTAAGGTCGTAAGGGTTAAGGGTTTAGGGGGGTTTAGGGTTTAGGGCTTGCCCTAAACCCTAAACCCTAAACCCTTTCACCCTAAACCCTAAACCCAAAACCCAAAAGGGCCTGGGCTGTAGGGGATTCAGGGCCCGGACGCCCAAGCCCGGCCTGAGACCGCGATCGCGCCAGGACATGGCGCGACGTCTTCGTTTGCACGGAGGGTCCTGAGCTTTCTGGGTTTAGGGTTTGGGGTTTGGGGTTTAGGGTTTAGGGTTTAGGGTTTAGGGTTTAGGGAGCATGGGGAGCACGGGGAGCCAAAGGGCTTGGGCGTCAACTGATCTGGGTTTGGGGTTTTGGGGTTTTGGGGTTTTGGGTTTGGGTTTAGGATTTAGGGTTTAGGGTTTAGGGTTTAGGGTTTAGGGTTTAGGGTTTCGGGTTTAGGGTTTAGGGTTTAGGGTTAGGGTTTAGGGTTTAGGGTGTAGGGTTTGAGCTCTTGTCGATGCTAAGTTGAGACCCCAAATCCCCCAACCCCGAACCCGAAACCCTGAACCCATAGCCCTTCCCAAGCCGACACCTGCAAACCTTCGGATCCGAAGTCCGAAACACGGTGACCCTCTAACTCTAAACCCAACAAGTCTTGAATCCTAAACGTTGAGGGATTTAGGGTTTAGGGTTAGGGCTTAAGGTTTGGGGTTTAGGACTTAGGGTTTAGGGTTGTAGGGTTTAGGGTTTGGGGTTCTCCCTCGAAGTCGGCTTGTGGGGCGTGTGTACTTCGAGCCTCCAAGAGTGGAAGGACTTGAGGGTGCGCACCCTGACATTTGCGGGCTTTTCAGGGTTGAGGGTTTCGGTTCTCGGACCCTAAACCCTAAACCCTAAAACCTAAACCCTTGAATGAAACCCCACAAGCTGGCGGCCGGGAGTCCCTCGAGATCCCCCTCAAGCGCGTCCACCGAGATGAACGTGTTCTTGACCGTCAGCGTCGGAGACATCATCGCTTCTTGGCGTCTCAGTGGCTTCTACGAAAGGCGATCACCGAGCACAGAGCCTCAGAAGTGCGTCCAGTCAGGGGACTTTCCGCTGCTCCCGAGGTCTCCCACGGCGTGTCGCTGAGAGCCGAAGAGAATCCAAGGCAAGCTCTGCAAGAAGCTGTGGCTTCACATCTCTCTACGTAAATGCATACAAATATATATATATATATATATATATGTATATACACACACATATGAATATATATATATATATATGTTTTGTATATGTCCATCTATCTAGATTTATATCTTCAGAGTTTTACTGTTTAGGCGTAAGATTTAGGGGCCCCAACAGCCCTTTCAAAAAACAGGGAACCGCAGCTTTCTCAGAACCATGCCTCCCTCCTCCTAGCTCCCCCGAAAAGAAGCCACCTTTGCTGATCTCAAGTCTCAATCTTACGCTGATATATATATATATATACACACACACCCACACCCACACGCACACGCACACGCACACGCAAACGCACACGCACACGCACACGCACACGCACACGCACACGCACACGCACACGCACACGCACACGCACACGCACACACGCACATGCACACGCACACGCACGCACACGTGCACGCACGCACACACACACACACACACACACGGATATATGTATGTGTGTATATATATATATGTGTGCACACACACATGCTTGGTATTTACGTATTTTGTCTCACTAAATAAATACATGCACAACCAGATTATGCTGCATTTCAATGATAACATGTGTAGGCATGTATGTATGTATGTATGTATATATTTATACATACATACATACCTACCTACCTACATACATACATACAGACAGATATATATATATATATATATGTATGTATGTATGTATGTATGTAGATATACATACATATCCATATACATATATGTACACATATACGTACACACAGATATGTATATATATATATATATATATGTGTGTGTGTGTGTGTGGTTACGTATGTCTTTATATATATGTGTAGAGCAAACATATGGGCACGCCCAAGGTAAAGGTACTTGAAAAATACCCCATGAATGCTCTGATCCTTGCCACAGCAATCCTCAACAAGGGTACCCCCGAACATGTTCAAGGACTGTAGGGCCCAAATCACAGAGCGCGGTCAGGACATCGCTCTCCCGCAATCCCACATCCCGAACCTCAAAAGCCCTGCAGAAGAGCCCCAGCCCTGGTTTAGGGTTTAGGGTTTAGGGTTTAGGGTTTAGGGTTTAGGGTTTAGGGTTTAGGGTTTAGGGTTTAGGGTTTAGGTTTTAGGGTTTAGGGTTTTAGGGCTTAGGGCTTAGGTCTTAGGGCCCAAGAATACCCCGGGCCCACCTTCCGCGCCGTCCGGCGAGGACCATGGCGCTGGTTGCATCAGGGTGACCTATTCCTTGGGACAAGGGCATGCTGCGAGTCTTTTGGCTGAAGGTGCCTGGGCTGTGGGCTGAGGGGTCGGCGCCCGAAATCCCTACGAACCCCGCCTGAAAGTTCTCGAAAGGTGGTTTGTGAGTTGGGGGCTTCCCCGACACGCTGGGTTCAGCTGCCGCAGCTTAGACACTCGGCCTTCGAGCTAGCCTTAACCCCTAACTCCTCCTAATGAAACCCCTACACCCCACACCCTAAAACCCTAAACCCCTATACATCCTAAACCCTAAGCTCCTGAACTGGAGGATGGCTGTGAAGGCTGCGGGCCAGAAACGGCGAACTCGACTTATGGGGCTTAGGGCTTCTGAGAAGCATTTGGGAGTCCACATCGGTACCCCCCCCCCCACACCCCAAACCGCCGGCGAAGCGCTTCGGGGGGCAGGTTTGACGGGGGTTTCGGTGGCTGGGCCAACTTCACCCTCCCCGGGTACCATCCTGGATCACCTTCGGCATACCTTGCAAGCTTCCGGCGGGGGGGGGGGGGGGGCATCTCACTCTTTTTTTCAGACGCTTTAGGATTCCTTGTACCGGGCGCGCTTGCGTGGGCGGCGCTGGCTGTGGGGCAGCTGCGCGCAGGGCCTGCAGACGGAGTATGTACAACATCGGACGTGGCGGCCCGATTTCACATCGCTCTTGGCCCATATCAGGAATTCCTCCAGGTCGTCACCACATACCTCAGCCGAAGCAGCCGAACGCAGCCTAGAAGCCACTTAATTAGCCTCCATGACCTGGGCTCCTTGAGGCTCCTATTCAGGCTTAGAGGATGCGAGGATCCCTTCCCTCGAAGTATGCTCAGAGTGTGCTCAGCGTGCAAGGCAAGGGGCCAGAAAGTCCCTCGCTGGGATTCCGCGCCCGAAGCGGCCGCAGCTGTCGCACGCCAGCTTCTCGCGCAAGAGGTCGGCCTTGGCAGTGGCCGCCATCGGCCGGAGCAGCGCACAGCAGACTGCACAGGTGTATTCCCCAGGCGGTGCGGAGGGCCCTATGAGCCTCTGCAGGCCCCAAACTGCCAATGGCGAGGCCCCGTTCACCTCCTGGACTTGCTCCTTGTCCGGTGTCACCGAAGAAGGCTCGATCTCGTACACGGGAGCCCTCTCCCTCCTCTCCGCCCTATCCTCCCGGGATCGGAGGTTGTACTTCTTCACAGGAGCCGGGGCAGCGGGGGCCTGGCGCCTCTTGGTCTTGGGCGCGCTGGAAAAGAGCACCGTCAAAGGCGAGTCGTCTCGCGGCACCGGGGCCACCGGTGCAGCGGGCGCAATGGGCGCAGCGGGCGCGGCGGGCGCTGCGGGCGCCACGGGCGCCGCAGGCGCCGCGGGCGCCGCAGGCGCGTCAGGTCGCATCAAGGGTGCGTCGTCGTCTGGGTCGGGCTCCGCGTCCAATTCCACGATGTCCGGCGCACCTAAAATAGCAGTCCCTTTCTGTTGGGAAGCATCACCCTACAGCAAACCCGAAATCCCTCATCAAGGACCCCTCCAGTAAGTCGCACCCAGGTGCCGAGTTTCTTCCAGGTGATGCGTTCCTCCGGGCGGCCTCGGATTTCCCACAGGAGCTCGGCGGCATGAATCCGTGCCCGGTACTCGCCCAGGATCAGGAAGTTGTCCTCGCGGGGGTAGGGGTCAAGGTTGCCTGAGAAACCCTAGACCACAAACCCTAAACCCTAAACCCTAAACCCTAAACCCCAAACCCAAACCGCCCCGAGCCCCAGGCCCTAAGCAGCCCCGGAGCCGAGACCCTGCAACCCTCGTGGGCCGAGGGTTGAACATCCTCTGTGTCCTGCAACCTGGGTTTAGGGTTCAGGGTTTAGGGTAGGGTTTAGGGTTTAGGGTTTAGGGTTCAGGGTTTAGGAAGATAACGAATACCAACAAACGGAGCAATGATCAACAGAACAGTGTGTAGGAGTAGCAATGATCTCAAGTAAGTCTTGTGAGAAGCCGAAGCAAGCATAATACCCATGGAACCCTCATGACCACAACGGCCCTCATAATAATGATCATCATGGTCATAGTCATGATGGTCATGGTGGTGATGATGATGATGATGATGATGATGGTGATAACCCTATAACCCTAAACCCTAAACCCTAAACCCTAAACCCTAAACCCTAAAGCGGCCTTGAATCCGAGCTGGAACTCCTGCTGCAGCTCAGAATAGAAGACGGTGCTGCCAGTCACCTACTTCTCGCTTTGGCGTCTCGGGCCCCCAGAGTAGGTTTAGAGTTTAGGGCTTTGGGGCTTCAGGGCGCATTTGTCGGTTCCCCCAACCCACACCTCTGATAGTCATGGGGCCCATATTCTGTGGGTTGAGGCACCCAAATAGCTGGTATTACGAAGGTCTAATTTCTTGGACCTCGTGTGCGTTCCAGAGTGTCCGAAGGACTTCGCTAATGATTTCGCACCTATCAAAAAATCATACGAAACGCCATAAAGCAACGAACGACAAGAGCGACCGAAAAATGTGTGAACCCTGAAGCCCGACACCCTCCCATGCTCGGGAAGTCCTACATTTCGACGTGTTTTCGGGTCAGGCTGATCGAGGACTTAATGTTCCAGACTTGGTGAACACCAGCTACTCGTCGTATTTGACGCATCTCGTTTGAAAAGAACAGTTGGAGAAACAGGTCTTAGTGCAAGAACAAAACAAAAACACCACGCAGAAACCTCATCAAACAGACAGGTCGCGCGTTCGTGCGTTCGTGCGCTCGTGCGTTCGCGCGTTCGTGCGTTCGCGCGTTCGTGCGGCATTCGTGCGGCGAACGTGCGTTCGTGCGTTCCTGCATTCCTGCGTTCGTGCGTTCGTGCATTCGTGCGTTCGTGCCTTCGTGCGTTCGTGCGCTCGTGCGTTCGTGTGTTCGTGAGTTCGTGCATTCGTGCATTCGTGCGTTCGTGCGTTCGTCCGTTCGTGCTTGCGTGCGTGCGCGCGCTTGCGCGTGTGCACGCGTGCATTCGTGCGTGCGTGCGCATGTGCGCGCGCGCGTGCGCGCGTGCGCGCCTGCGCGCGTGCGCGCGTGCGCGCGTGCGCGAGTGCGCGCGCGAGCGCGCGCGCGCCACAGTTCCGAGCTACTTACTCTAGAGGCCAAAGAACCCTCGACCCTTCCAAACCCTGAACCCTGAAACTGCTACAGTAACCCCCCTATTCCCCTGAGAGTCATTCCCCGAGCCTAAACCCTAAACATCCCTGAACCCCAGACACCCCTAAGCCCTAAACATCCCCGAGCCCTGAAACCCAAACCCGAACCCCCTGAACCCACACTCCCTGAAAAACCTTCCTGGGTTCACAAACCATCAACCCTAAACCCTAAACCCTAAACCCTAAACTGCGGCCTCGGCAATTCCAAACTGCCCCGCATCCCAGTGGCCCTGCAACAGTGCCTCGACCAGAGAAAAACGAGTCCAGGCACTCTCGCGATCATCGGGTGTAGGGTTCGGGGTTAGGGTTTAGGGTTTAGGGTTTAGGGTTTGGGGTTTGGGGTTTGGGGTTTGGGGTTTGGGGTTTGGGGTTTGGGGTTTGGGGTTTGGGGTTTAGGGTGTAAGTTTTAGGGTTTAGGGTTGGGATGCTCCCCTTCTGCTAACAGTCCTTAGTAGGGAATATTGTACCCCCTATGATCATCCCTACTTAAGGACAGTTAGTATACGGGGGAACATCCCAAAAAACAATCCAAGTATTACCCAGCCCACAAGCCGTTGTCCCTGAAGCACCCTCTTTAGCGGTTTAGCCCCTCTAGACCCTATTTTCATGTTCATGGCTACTGCGTGGTGATAAGTAAGTCGGGATGAAAGTAAGAGTAAGGAAAGCTAACTAGGGTACCTTACACTTACACCTTATAGGGTTCTTAAGGAGCGAGGTTCAAGGGGGGTATGTAACCCAAGGTTCCCTTTTCTCCCCACCACTTCCCAAGGCTCCCTAAGCTTCATTAAGGTTTCCTAGGTACCTACCAAAATCCTTGCGTCCCCAAAACCGTGCAAAACCCTCCCCCAAAATTCAAAAAATGCCACCAGACACCCCTAAAACTCTCAAACCCCCCCCCCCCCCCCCCCCCCCCCTACTTTTCTGAAACCCCAAACCCCAAACCCCAAACCCCAAACCCTAATAAAACCCTAAACCCCCCTCCACCAGCAAAAAAAGACCTTGAAGCCTCTTAAAGCCCTCAACACAGCCTCGTCAGCAGGAGCCAACCCCTTCTTGAGCGGCTTCCGGCCCGTGGCTCGACGCATCCCTAAACCCAAACCCTATAAACCCTATAAACCCAATTTAACCCTATAAACCCTATAAGCCCTATAAGCCCTATAAGCCCTGAACCCGTTTAGGCTTCAGGGTTTTCGGGGCTCAGGGAGTCTCGGGTTCAGGGCTCTGGTTTAGAAATAAGCATTTAGGAAACTCCAGACTTGGGTTAAGGGTTTAGGGTTTAGGGTTAAGGGTTTAGGGTTTGGGGTTTGGGGTTTGGGGTTTGGGGTTTGGGGTTTGGGGGGGGTTGGGGTTTGGGGTTTGGGGTTTGGGGTTTGGGGGTTGGGGGTTGGGGGTTGGGGGTTGGGGGTTGGGGGTTGGGGGTTGGGGGTTGGGGGTTGGGGGTTGGGGGTTGGGGCCGAGCGGGTGAGGGGGTGAGGTTGGGGGCTTCGGGGTCGTAGGGTTCCAGAGTGATTCAAGGTTCAGGGTCCGGGGTTGGGGGTTGTCATGGCTTGTCTCTCAGGGCCACCTACAGGGCCTTGGCAAGGAGCTTGACCCAAGAGTGTCAGCAGCGACGTGCGGCTTGGGCGGCGCCCAGACCCTAAACTTCAACTTCTTAAAGCCCTAACCCTAAACCCTAAACCCTAATTCCTAAACCCTAAAATTCATTGAAGGCTCTAAGGACTCTTCTGTTGAACTTTGGCAAATTTGATGTGAAGGGCTATGGCTGAGGGCTTCAGGACTTGGGGGGTTTGGAGTTTCAGGACTTCTTGGCTTGGGCTTTTGGGGTTCAGGTCTTGGGGCTTAGGGCCTAGGGTTTTTAGGGTTTAAAGTTTAGGGTTCAGGATTTAGGCTGCAATATCAGGGTCCAGAGCCCTTTCTTGTCGGAGCAGCAATGCGCTCTATCGGAAAAAGGCTGGCGTTGCCACGCGGTGCACCAGGGCAGGCCAGAAATGTGCTTACCCTAAACCCTAAACCCTAAACCCTGAACCGCAAACCCTAAACCCTAAACCCCCCCAAACCCTAAACCCGTTTAGGGTTTAGGGTTTAGCGTTTAGGGTTTAGGGGCCCACCAATATTTAGAGGTTCCTATTTTCCACCGGCGCTAGGTTTTATGGTTTAGGGTATACAGTGTATAGTATACACCCACATGAAATACACCCTCTCAAGAACTACCCTGAAAATCCGGCTGGGGGCCCCTTCTGAACAACGAAGCCCCAAGCCCGCTAAAGCCTGTGTGCACTCTCCAACAAAACTGCAGCTAGCCACATGAAGTAGGGTTTGTTTTCCTTGTATCCCAAAAGGACACCCAATATATACACTCACCAATATTACAAAGGAACCTAAAATACACTCACCAATAGCAGCAATACAAACACTGTGTCATATCAGGGATCAGGTTTCGGGGCTGGGAGGGCGGCTGCTGCTCCGGTGTTGGATAGAGGTTCTCAAGTGTGGAAGTCCTTCCTCTGGCATCCTCATTGTCAAGCATCCTCTTGCCTTGACGGTAGGGTCCAGTGGACGTAAAGGTGGGTTGGCAAAAGGGACGTTTGCGTGCCGGAAGTAGATGGTTCAAAGTTGTTGCGAGATTTCAACATCATCTGAGCACTCCGCAAACCCTAGGGCCTCCAACACCCCCGCGAGTCAGTCCCAGGTAAAGTGCCCACCCTGGCATCACAGCTGAAGCGGCTACACCACCCTTCATAAGGACGGACGGCACTCGTGGGAGTCTCACGTACGATCTCAAGCCCTCCCGAAATCCTACTAAGGGCCCAAAGTTCAGAGTGTCAGGGTTGTTGTTTGCAGCTTTCGCTTTTAGTGTCTTGTTGTAAGGTTGAGGGCTGCTCTATGTGTGTGTGTGTTTAGGGTAAGTTTAGGGTTTAAGGTTGTTGAAAGTGTAAGGTTTAGGGCGATATTTGAGGTTTGAGGTGTAGGGTTCTTAAAGATTTGGGGCTTAGGGGTTACGTTAGGCTCAGGGTTTTGGGGTAAGGCTTTGCGTTCGAAGCTCAGGATTCTTTGAGGTTTAGGGTTGCACAATGTACTGCTAACCCTAAACCCGAAACCCTAAACCCTAAACCCTAAACCCTTGACTTTCTGAAGTGAAGGAGGCGGAACCTTGAAGCACGGGGGACACCCACACGAGAGCTCCCATAGCAAATGCTGCAATAAGCGGTCCGGGCCACGGCTCAGGACTTCTCAGAAGTCTGCAGAGCTAGCCCTAAACCCTAAACCCTAAACCCTGAACCCTAAACTCTAAACCCTAAATGGCCCTAAATCTCAGCTGTGACTTTCTCGCCTCATGCCGGTGGCAAGGTCTGACTTACTTCTGGGCCTGGAGCTTGGGGATGCGTGCAGCTTAAGAGACTGTAGAGGTAGGGAAACACCTACTGTAACAAAAAAACACAAGAAAAACAGATAAAACAGAAAGCGGCTAGACAAGCCATTCTGCCTGGATCGAACTACAAAAGCCCCCTTTAAACAGGGCAAAGCCCGTAACATGGCGTGGCATGCTGCGTTCCATCAGCTCAAATAGAGAACAGTTGCAAAACGCGGATCGGCTGCAGTGCTAGGTGCCGGGATTCAGAGCGCAGGGGGGTTGTCGGCTTCTCAACTTCAGGGTTGAGCAGCTTCGGCTTCGAGATTTCAATGCACTTGCTCTGCGTCACAGCTGGTGGCCCTAGACGCATGAAGATCCATGAGCAGTAGCGCGAGGGCAAGCACAACACCCCAAGGCTCGATGTGATGCAGACCCAAATATTTAAAAACAAATATATATATATATATATATATATATATATATATATGTATATATATATATATTATTAATTAATTAATTAATTAATTAATTAATTAATTAATTAATTAATTAATTAATTAATTAATTAATTAATTAATTATCAATGAATTATGAATTATTAAGCCTAAGCCCCGAACTCTTACACGACACTTCTTGGGGCAACTGTTCGGGTCCCCGGTGCATCGCGTTGTCCTCCACATCACTGCCAATAGCACGTGCCGCCGATTGGGAAACTGTGTCTGTGAGGTACGGCTTGCTCATTTCACACCAAAAACCCGAAACCCTGAACCCGAAACCCGAAACCTCGGTAGCCTTAGTCCACTAATCTCTTCACAGCATGCGGAACCAGGCAGAACCTCCCTGTGAACCCTGAGCCGAAAACCCTAAACGTGCTTCCGCCTGGATCGTAGGGTGCAGGGGTTAGGGGTTAGGGGTTTTTTGGTTTAGGGTTTCGGGTTCAGGGCGCTAGGGTTTAGGAGAATCCTAAACCAAAGAGAACACCAACGCGGTCTCCGCATTCCCTGCGCTGGCGGCCCCCGCACTCGGCTTTGCCAATGGCGCTGGGGCCCGCAAGGGGCGACAAAAAGCCCTAAAGCCTTGGGTCCTGGTTTTTGGGGTATTTGTGGGGGTTGGCGGGGTTTAGAGCTGAGGTTTGAGGGGTTACGGTTCTTTTGAGGGTTTGCCCTAAACCCTGAACCCTAAACCCTAAACCCTAAACGCTAAACCCTAAACCCTAAACCTTTCTGGGGTCGGGGTTCAGGGTTGAGGGTTTGGGGTTTAGACGGCTGAAAGATCTTGACCGGTGCGGCCGTTTAGGGCTTAGGGTTTACGGTTTAGGGCTTAGGGTCTCAGGGTTTAGGGTTTAGGGTTTCATTATAGTAAGGCCCTCAGTAAGGCCCTAAAATTTCCCGCGATGAAGCCACTAGTACGGTGCGGGGCACGTACGTTCCGGTCGAGCATTCCGGAGCTGGGCGGGAGCTCGACACAAACTCAGGGTTTAGGGGTTTGGGGTTTAGGGTTTAGGGTTAGGGTTTAGGGATTAAGGGGGTTCATGGCACTTAGTATCCCAATAACAAGGTAGCAAAAACCCACTTATGAGCCCTGTAGGCTTGCGGAAACAGAGGCTTTGCTGCCAGGGGTTGCGCTATGCCCACAACAAACCCGGACCCAGTGGCCCTACGAAGATGATATGCATTTCAAACAGTTGCCGGCACCACGGCCCCCGCTGCTTCACAGACGGAGCACGCGGAACCCGTCTGGGTACCTGCTGGGGGCACTTCGGGAGTTGCTGATGGGCTTCTTAGGGTGGATGTTGTTCTGAGGATAACGAGTGTGGGCGTTGCGAAAAGTTTGATGACCTGACCATCGGCTTGTGGTTTAAGTTTAGATGGTTTCGGATGAACCCGAAACCCTAGCCCCGGCCTCCCTGGATCATGTAGGGCTTAGGGTTTAGGGTTTAAAGTGGGCCTCTAAGCGGGGCGGCCTGCCGAAACGCCCCAAACCCACAAGCCGGAACTCAGCTTCCCATGTAGTGTGGGCAGGAGTACCCCAAGTACCCATGAACCTCCAAAACCCTGAACTTTCCCTAAACCCTCAACAAAAGCCTAAAGCCTGCCACCTTAGACCCCAAACCCCCATCCCCAAACCCCCATCCCCAAACCCCGAAACCCCTAACCCTGCCTGTATGTAACCCCAGGTTCCCGAGTGCTCCTAAGGCTTCCCTAGGTAGCTACCCATCATGAACTCCCCCCCTGAAGAACCCAAACCCGAAATCCGAAACCCTAAACCCTAAACCCCAAACCCTAAACCCTAAACCCTAAACCCTAAAACCCTAAACCCTAAACCCTCCCAGACCCACCTCAAGGCGACAGGCTCCCGCTGGAGCCGCGGAAGCGATCCCAGTGCTTCGGGTTCCTCTTCGTGGCACCCGGGCAAAACCCCATGAAAGGCCACTGGAAATCCAAAAAAAACCCACAAAACCCTGCAAACCATATAAACCCTGCGTAGAATCCCCACAACCCTATTAAACCCGACAAAACCCTGTAAGCCATATAAAACCCTGCGTAGAAACGCAATACCCCCTAAACCCCCTTGTAAATCCCTATTCAACCATGTCAACCCTGCGTAGAAACCCTTTAAACCCTATAACCCCTGAGCCCTAGATTCAGGGTCTTCCTGGGAGGGAAGAGTGGAGGATCTCTGGGTTTACGATCTTTGGGTTTCGAGAGATTTGAGAATTTTGAGAGTTCGGGTCCTTTTTAAGGGTTCCTGACATATTTAAGCCCCTCAGACACTCAAAACCCCTCAAACCCCTCAAACCCCCGAACGCCCGAATCCCTAGAGCCCGATCCCTCAATCCCCTGAACCCCCCAAGCACGCAGAGCCCAAGCTGCCCCTAAACGCCTAAACTCGAGGGCCTCCAAGCACTGGGCCCAAAAAATCTTGAGACCCTAAACCCAAAAAACCCCGAAAACTCAAAGAACTTGAGTTGTATGAACCTTGTGAGACGCTGAGGACCCCACCCGGAGCGATGCCCCGTGGCAGCAAAGCCGTTCCTGGGTTTCGGGTTGAGGGATTTAGGGTTTCGGGGTTTAAGGGTTTGGAGGTTTGCAGGTTTAGGGCTTTAAGGGTTTAGGGTTGAGGGTTTAGGGTTTGGCGCCTGTGTGGGAGACAGACTATTGAAGCTCCCGGCGCCCTAAAGCCTGGAAAAGTCGTTCTGTTGTGGAGACGTCTTGTTGCGGAGGCCGGGCGCGTTCTTGTTTGTTTTGTTCAGGTCAGGCGCATTTTTTGTGAAGGTCTGGTGCATTTTCTTCCTCTGGAGGCTTTTTTCTTGCTCTGAAGGCTTCTTGCTGTAGAGGCCTTTTGCTTTGGAGCCCGGCGAGTCTTTTTCTAGCGGGCGGGGGCGCTTTGTTTTGCTGCGGAGGCCTGGCACTTATACCTTGAAGCAAGCGGGGTTGGGCTATTTGCAAACACAACGCTCGCGTGATGGGTTTCAAAAAGTCTCATGTGCTTTCAAGCAAGCTTGCCCCCCACCCCATTTGCAAACATGATGCTCGCATGATGGGTTTCGAGATGATTCATATGGGGGTTTGCGGGGGTACCTCCTTGGGGTTCTCCTTATAAGGGGATCCTCCTATGTGGGGATTTATGTCAGGGTGTCCCCTAACTTTCGTAAACCCCCATATGCTTTGACACAAGCTTGCGCGGCTTACGAAAGCCAGGGGGCGCAGCCCACAGCAAAGCCCTGCCTTTGCTGCGGAGGCCGGGTGCTTTTTGTTTGCCGCGGAGGCGCGGGGCTCACTCGCTCACTTCCTGGCCGCCGCGAAGCCCTGCCTTCGGTTCCCCTGAACAACAAAAGACCGCCACGGCCAAAAAACTCCACGGGCGCGTTTTGCTATTTGCTGCGGAGGCCGGGCGTGTTATCTTTGCTGCGGAGGCGCGGGCTCGCTCACTCACTTGCTGGTCTGCCCTGGCTGCGTGGTCCTCCCTTCCCGCCTTAACAAAAAAACGCATAGCAAAAAAAGACGCACGCGGGTATCTTCATTTTCCGCAGAGGCTTGTTTTTCTGGGTCAAAGCCGCAACCCAAAACAACAAATTGGGCTCTCAAACTCGGCGGCTTTGGCGTAAAGGGGTTAGGGCCGAGAGGCTTGGGGTTGGGGATCTTATCACAACACTGCGCCCGGTTTGTGTAGCCTGCGACAAGAGATGAGGCGGCCATTGGGCTCAGATGGGTTTAGAGGTTTTGTTTAGTTTTACGGGTTTAAGGTGAGAAGATGAGACTATCAAACTCAGGACGGCATCCTCTGTAAGCCTGGGAATGCCCTGTGAAACTCCCCACGATCTGCAGGCAAGGCTCCCTGCCCAATTGGGCGCCTGCCTGGTGGTGGCCAGCCTGGGTGTTTCCAGCTTCGGGTGCTTTGAGAAGTTCCTGCCCTTGGCCTGCTCACATCGCATGATCGCCTCTCACATCTCCGGGCCGCAAAGAGCCCGCATGAGCCACACGGCCCCAAGAGCCGCGGATGAAGTTCGGCCACCAGCTACCATCCATGTGCTGTGGGGTTCAGGGTGTAGGGCTCAGCGGTCCCCAAGAACCCCCCTAAAACCCTTAGCCTTGACCCTCGAAGCCCGCGGCCCCCAACGCGGCCCCCAACGGCGACCCTCTGGAACCCGCCTTACTGTGAGAGCCGGGCTCGTACTGACTCCGGTTCGCCCAGGGCGGCAGGTAGTTCTCGCCGGCCACCTCCAGTCGAGGTTGGAGCATGGCTTACTTAAATAGTTTCTCCCACATTGTGGCGCCACACCACAAGGACGTTTTGGGGTCTAAGAGAAGGAGAAGACCCTCCCATAGATGTCATCTGTTGAGGTGGTCCCCGCTGGGTGCTCATGAGGCTGTTTGCCGGAGCTGGGGCCGGGCTGGCTCTCATGATCGCCACACTGGGTCTCTGGGAGACAGGGCCCAGCTGATGCCCATGATGCTTGCAACCCTCAGCAACTCTTATATTCCAGCAAGCAAGGTTCCATAGGGATCGTCGGGTTTCAGAGCCACGATGGGCGGTGGTAAGTAAGTAACTGGGGCCCCGACAGACCGATGCAACAAGGATTCACAACCCTAGACTCCTCAACCCTAAACTCCTAAATCCTAAACCCTAAGCCCTAAACCTCATCATCCCAAGCCATCAACACGCAAGTTGCCTGGAGAGTGCGCATCCCACCACCGGGGGCCGTGTTCGAGCGCTGGAGCTTCCTGGGGAAGCTTCGAGGGCCGGCTCCACAGAAGCCCTCAGAAGCCCTCAGAAGCCCCAGAAAACCCCGAAAAAATTGTGATTTCGGGGGATTTTGGGTTAGGTTTTGGGGTTTAGGAGTTAGGGTGCACTCCTGTGAGGTTTCGCCCCCTTCAGACTCTGAATTCATTAGGCTTCAGGCGCGGAGACTGCCAAACAAGACCCCTCAACAGGAAAAGTCTCTCCCTCTGCCATCTCTCCCTTCTCCTACCTTCTCTGCCTTCTCCCACCTTCTCTCCCTCTCTCCTTAAGGGTTAAGGGTTAAGGGTTAAGGGTTTAGGGTTTAGGGTTTAGGGTTTAGGGTTTAGGGTTTAGGGTTTAGGGTTTAGCGTTTCGGGCCTTATGGATCAAACAAAACTGGTGTCCTGAAGAAAGGTTCGTGCTGCAAGTGTTGGAGTCGTGGATGTTCTCTCAAGGGGAGGGGGTGCGGAATCTCGCATCAAGAACCAGGTCTTCATGACCCCAACCCTGGAGCCCTAAACCCTAAACCATAAACCCTACCAAAAACCCTAAACCCTAAACCCCAAACCCCAAACCCGAAACCCTAAACCCTAAACTCTAAACCCAATCCCTAAACCCTAAACCCTCCGAAAGTGGCAAACCTGAGCCCTTGTAGATCGTTCCAGGCAGGACGAAGGCTCGGCCGGATGGTGCCGTCGTGGCGGATGGTGACCCCTCCGCCTGTTCGACATTCGGGCTTTCTTGCACGAAACCCTAAACCCTAAACCCTAAAACCCTAAACCCGAATCCCTTTTTCACAAGGGACTCGACTGCTGCTAAACCCGAATCCCAAACCCTGAATCCCTGGACTGCACCAGGTTCCTTCAAGGGACACATGTGGGTATTTCCCAAAATAGAGGTACCCTTTTCATGCCCCAAATAGAACCGAACCCCTTTGTTCAAGAGACCCCAAAAAAGGGTACCCCTATTTTCGAAAACTCCATGTCAGAGTACTGAAGTTGATTTTTTCAGAGCCCGTAAGCAGGGAAGCTGCCCTCGACCACGAGCGAGAAACTAGCGCGCAATCAGCAGCCCTCTAACCCCCGCGGAAGAAACGAAAAGCTGGTCGGGAACCCAGCGACCCTAAACCTGAAACCCTGAACCTTGTGGTTGAGGGCTTTAGGGGTTTAGGGTTTAGGGTTTGGGGTTTAGGGTTTAGGGTTTAGGGTTTAGGATGGTTGAGGGTTTAGGGTTTAGGATGGTTTAGGGTTTTGGGCCCAAAATTGGAGATCCCCAGTCCGCAGCTTGGAGGCGTTCGGCCTAAGGGGCCCGTCGCCAGCGGGTCGTACTTGTTGCCCAGCTGCCCCGTCTGCCTTTGGGGGGGGGAGGGAGTTTGGAGGGCTAAACCCTAAACCCTAAACCCTAAACGAAAGCTCTGAGACCCCTTTAACGACTCTTGAAGTCCCTCCCTTCAGGCATGTACAGCACGGGTTTAGGGTTTAGGGTTGAGGACTTCGCGTTCATGGTTTAGGGTTTCAGGTGTTCACGCTTAGGCCGGGTTTTCGGCGGGGTTGCTGCGTCTTGGATTTGGGGCTTCGTGTGGGGCGGTTGAGGGCTGAGTTAAGGGTCAGCCTTGTAAGACAGCTTTTGAAGGGATGCATAAGGGGTTTGCAACAGATTTAAGGGTTCTGAAGAACATGTGGGGGTGTTAAGGGTGAAGGACTTTAAGGGTTTAGGCTTCTTGGGGAAACCGAAAGCGTGGGTTTAGGGGTTTTTAGGGAAACCCGAAACCCTACACCTACACACTCTCCAAAAAGGCTTCGGGTTTTGGGTTTTGGGCGGATCTTGCAGGTTTGGGGGTGCTTTTGAAGGGCTCTCTTTGCCCAAAATTAGGGTTTATATGTAGGCTTGGGGTTCAGGGTGTAGGGGCATCCACAATGACAAGGGGCTGGAGGAAGGACTTGTTGTACCAGCGCGCGACCCTCTGCCTGAGTTTGCAGCTGTGAGGTTGAAGCATTGTGGGTTTGCTTTTTGGGGTGGGGCTTGCGAGGAACAAGTGTTGGGTTTAAGGGGTCTAGGGTTTCGAGTCCCTAAACCCTAAACCCTAAATCCTAAACTTTAGGGCCTCGGGGGTTTAGGGGTTGTTGAATGGTTCTTATGCCGTTTAATTCGGGTTCTGGCCGCAGTTCGGGGGTTCTAGGGACGCAGGGTCGATATCACTAGAGGCCGACCCCCCATTCCCTTGCCTTGACCCCTTCCCCCCCCCCCTTTGCCAGGCCCTTTGCCCCCACCTTTTCGTGAGGAAATGTGCCCGCACCCTGAGCTGGTGCACCTCGTCGGAGTGTCCACAATGTGGCTGGAGGCATGGAGGATGTACTGGGTGCCGTTCGTCTTCGGGCAGTGCCACACGTCCTCAACTCCACAGCATCTCCCGACCCGCTGGGAGAAAAAAAACGCTTGCCGTTCAGATCTGCTCCACACTTACAACACAACCTCTGACTCCGAATGCTCAGATGCCCACCAGCTGTGTTCGCATGACGCCATTGAGCTTGTCATGGGTGGCGTTCACAGCTTGGTCGTAAACCTCGGCTCATGCAACGCATGGGGAAGACAGTGCTGGGTCCGGGTGCTACGATGTCCTTGCCACTTGAACTTCACGTATGCCGCTTGCCGTGTGCTGCTCCAATGCACTCATCCTACTTCACCTGCACGTGACCTCTGCTTCTCAGCAGGCACTGGGAGTCAGGCCCAATCATAGCGAGGCCTGCGACTATGTAACCCAGGCAAACTCGACTGTTCGGGGTTTTTTTTATTCGGGTGTGGGCCAAGTTTGCAGCAAGTCATGATGCTGTGTGGAACGCATGTGTAACTTCGAGATGTGGTCCTGGATCTGCTGCAGTGTATGGTGCAGTAGCTGCTCAATCATGAAAAAACACACTTGTTTACATAAACAGGGCCGGGAAAAGGCAACAGCTATTTGGGGCTTTTCTGTGGTTCAGATCTTTGCCGACAACATTTTTGGGAGATTAAGCTTGCTAAACATGGGCGGAAAATACTCTTTCAAACGCTAAACCCGAAACCCCCAAAACCTAACCCCTAAACCCTAAACCCCAAACCCTAAACCCTAAACCCTAAACCCTAAACCCTAAACCCTAAACCCTAAACCCCAAACCCTAAACCCTAAACCCTACCCCTAAACCCGAAACCCGAAACCCTAAACCCGAAACCCTAAACCAACCTTCTGGAGACGCAGAGAGGGGGGGGGGGGGGGGGGGGGGGGGGCCTCTCCCCACGGATGGCGGGCTCTTTGTCTTTGGGGAACATCGGCCCGGTGTTGGTCTTCAGCCATGACCTGCTCGCCGCATGTTCTTGGGCATATGGCATAATATTAGGCATTCTCACATATGGTTATATCGCTATATTTTGTAAAAAAACTCAACAATTTCTTGGTGGGACACATATGTGTATGGTTCTGCAACGCTCATGGTTCGGGCTTTAGAATTTGCTACTCAGCGCATCGCTCGAAGACTACATGTTCAAACACAGGTAGGACAAGCGAGCAGCACATCCATCAAGTGGCACGTCACCGCCTTTTTGCATGGAGTAGCACATGCACTATGCGACAACACGGCCAAGCAGTAAAAAAAGTGATGCACGCTGGCATCCCAAAATAGGGGTATATACCCCAAGCAATACAATACAATCGCTATCCTGGAAACAGCCAAAGCAAGTACCCCTAATATTCGATACCCCCCGCCCTAAACCCTAAACCCTAAACTTTAATCAAGCAAAGACACGTAGGCGAGGAAGGCGGCGAGGTCAATCGCTGTGTCGGCGCCGGATTTGTGATGCGATCCATGGCTGGCAGCTTTCGCTTGGCAACAAGCAAGCGAACTAAACAGGTCGTCAAAGTGGGCATCGACTGCAACCATGATCGACTGCAACCATGATGGCTCAGATTTAATGCAGGCAGCATTGTAGCCAACTCGTGTTGCACTCTTCAAACGCCACCAGAGGAAAGAGAGCCAATACGTCATAGCCGCAACCGCACAATTTCACAGCAGAACACAACCCAAAAAATAGCCAATGTAATCATGTGCCAGTGTAGTTGGGCACACATACTCATATTTTGAGTATCATGGCATGGCCCGAATCACGTTGCCGCTAGCATCCCCCCAACGCCCAACGCCGGACAAGTAACTGATGAGGATCTTTAATAGCAGGTTTAGGGTTTAGGGTTTGGGGTTTGGGGTTTAGGGTTTAGGGTTTAGGGTTTAAGGTATAGGGTTTAAGGTTTCGGGTTTAGGAATCATGAATCGAGATTGCCCACGTCCAACAACGACCGAAAGATTTGAATCATCATAACTCATGCGAGTCTCACTCCAGAACGCCCCGTCACACTCACATTGGAATTTTTGGGAGATGTGGGCTAGGCACTAAGTGGGGTGTCCGACGTGTCCTTTGAAGGTCTTCGGTGCCTGCAGTGTCAGCTTTTCGGCTGGCACGGGCGATGTTGATGTTGAGATTCGAACCTGGTTTTGCCGGTGAAACACTCACAAGTTTTCAGATGGCCAGGCCATCTGCTCTGCTTGCTTGATCAGCATTTGGATCTTGGATGATGATCAAGTAGGGGTGGAAGAAAGCTAGAGAGCGAGAGCGAGAGCGAGAGCGAGAGCGAGAGCGAGAGCGAGAGCGAGAGCGAGAGCGAGAGCGAGAGCGAGAGCGAGAGCGAGAGCGAGAGAGAGAGAGAGAGAGAGAGAGAGAGAGAGAGAGAGAGAGAGAGAGAGAGAGAGAGAGAGAGAGAGAGAGAGAGAGAGAGAGAGAGAGAGAGACCTCTCCGGGCACTTTCCCTCCCACACCCAAAATTCTAAGGCTGCAGCACCGCCTCCCCGGCTGTTTGCTTCCCACCTCACCCAAAATTCTAAGGCTGCAGCACGGCCTCCCGCGGGCTCTTTGCTTTCCACCTCAATCAAGCGCGGGGCATTACAGGGGAGGCCCACACACACGAAGCCAGAATTGCCTAGATTTTTCGACCCCAGATTTGGAGGTCACAGAATCACAGCTGCAAGCCTCACGCGCACACTGCCTTCTGCTTCCACTATCTGATACACTTCCAGCTAATAGTCACGTGCTCTTCCCGCAACTCTACCCCTGCCCACTTACGCGGCGTCGCTACTCAAGATTAGAGGGGCACCTACTGCAGCTCTGGCGGAGTCGGCGTGACAAGCCTCGGCGGAGTCGGCGGAGTCCTCGCAAATTGCAATTTACCACTAGAGCGCCGTGGAGTCCTAGGTTTCCCGGAATAACAAAACAATGTTTTGAAATTCGGGAACACAACGACTCCGCCGTTCGCGGGCAGGCTCGCCACCTTGGTCCATTTTGCTAAGACTCTACGACGGGGGTGGAGGGCCTCCATCACGCAGCAGGAAAGTGACCTTCGCTATGTTCTCAAGCAGGTTAAGCCGAGGCAGGAACTCGGTCTCCAGCACTTGCTGTGGAAATCAAGCCCCCTTCCCAGCCTCTTCAAAACACAGTCAAGCCCCCCTCACCCCAACCCTTTCAAAAGAGGTCAAACCCAACCCAGCCCCTTCATAGCATGGTCAAACCCGCCCAAGCCCACCTCAAATCCACCCGAAAGCTACCCTCAGCCCTTTCAAAACATGGTCAAACCCATCCCAGCCCCGTCAAAACATGGTCTCAAATATCTTTGCTGTTCAAAGCCCAAGCCTGCCAAAAACTTTCATTCTGCAATGTCTAGCAAACGACTGACTGCACAACCGCAGAAAACGTTGAGGCCACGTCAACTCGCCAGAGCTTGAAGCGTGACTCCTATCCACAGAAAACACCAACAAAGACCTGCAGCTCAACTGGCGGGCCAGCAGCATCGTCAGGACGAAGCCCAAGCTACGGGGAAGTCGGGCGACCCCGCTTTCAGGGCCGCAAAACACAAGCAACTCTGGCTTCGCCAGGACGGGCCTCCACAGTTGCAGTTCTGCCTCACTGCAGCATTACAAAGACGAGCGTGCAGCTGCTTCGGACAAGCCCCCACACGCTCAGCGCGACGCTGCCCAAAGTTACCAGAAAAAGGGCAGGCGCGATCCGGTTGCTTGCGCCCACAGGCTCAAATTCAAGGGCCGAAAAAACGGGCCGTCTCGCGGCCCCAAAAATGGGGCCGCGAAATGGACCCAGCTCCCGCAATACAATTTGGAACTAGATTGGGGGGGGGTGAAACTGCGACCCCAAAATTGGGGCCGTTTGTTTGGGGCCGCGAATTCTTCTACTTTTGGCGCTTTCGACACTCAGGCGACTCTGGCCCACAGACAAGCACTCAACGTGGAAAGAGCAATTACTGAGAACCACAACCTCCGCAAGCAGCTTTCTTGTGGAAGTGATCAACATGAGAGAAACTTGCACAGGGGAGGCCCACACACACGAAGCCAGAATTGCCTAGATTTTTCGACCCCAGATTTGGAGGTCACAGAATCACAGCTGCAAGCCTCACGTGCACACTGCCTTCCGCTTCCACTATCTGATACACTTCCAGCTAATAGTCACGTGCTCTTCCCGCAACTCTACCCCTGCCCACTTACGCGGCGTCGCTACTCAAGATTAGAGGGGCACCTACTGTAGCTCTGGCGGAGTCGGCGTGACAAGCCTCGGCGGAGTCGGCGGAGTCCTCGCAAATTGCAATTTACCAATAGAGCGCCGTGGAGTCCTAGGTTTCCCGGAATAACAAAACAATGTTTTGAAATTCGGGAACACAACGACTCCGCCGTTCGCGGGCAGGCTCGCCACCTTGGTCCATTTTGCTAAGACTCTACGACGGGGGTGGAGGGCCTCCATCACGCAGCAGGAAAGTGACCTTCGCTATGTTCTCAAGCAGGTTAAGCCGAGGCAGGAACTCGGTCTCCAGCACTTGCTGTGGAAATCAAGCCCCCTTCCCAGCCTCTTCAAAACACAGTCAAGCCCCCCTCACCCCAACCCTTTCAAAAGAGGTCAAACCCAACCCAGCCCCTTCATAGCATGGTCAAACCCGCCCAAGCCCACCTCAAATCCACCCGAAAGCTACCCTCAGCCCTTTCAAAACATGGTCAAACCCATCCCAGCCCCGTCAAAACATGGTCAAAACCACCCCAAAGCCATCCCACCTTCAAAACACGGTCAAACCCACCCCACCCACCCGCACCCCTTCTAAACAGGTCCAACCCACCCCGAGTCCATTCAAAACACGGTCAAACCCACCCCAGTCCATTCAAAGCATGGTCAAACCCAGCCAAACCCACCCCAAATCCACGCCGAACCCACCCCAAACCCACCCGCTATTCTCAGTCCCTTCAAAACATGGTCAAACCCAGCACAACCCTGTCGCTGGGGACGTCGCCCTTCCCCAAAATCTTCTTCTTCGTTGGGCGCACGGCAACTTAATCAACTTAAAATCCGGGCCTGCACAACAACACGCTTAAATATCTTTGCTGTTCAAAGCCCAAGCCTGCCAAAAACTTTCATTCTGCAATGTCTAGCAAACGACTGACTGCACAACCGCAGAAAACGTTGAGGCCACGTTGGTCAACTCCCCAGAGCTTGAAGCGTGACTCCTATCCACAGAAAACACCAACAAAGACCTGCAGCTCAACTGGCGGGCCAGCAGCATCGTCAGGACGAAGCCCAAGTTACGGGGAAGTCGGGCGACCCCGCTTTCAGGGCCGCAAAACACAAGCAACTCTGGCTTCGCCAGGACGGGCCTCCACAGTTGCAGTTCCCTCACTGCAGCATTACAAAGACGAGCGTGCAGCTGCTTGACCCCACACGCTCAGCGCGACGCTGCCCAAAGCTACCAGAAAAAGGGCAGGCGCGATCCGGTTGCTTGCGCCCACAGGCTCAAATTCAAGGGCCAAAAAAACGGGCCGTCTCGCGGCCCCAAAAATGGGGCCGCGAAATGGACCCAGCTCCCGCAATACAATTTGGAACTAGATTGGGGGGGGGTGAAACTGCGACCCCAAAATTGGGGCCGTTTGTTTGGGGCCGCGAATTCTTCTACTTTTGGCGCTTTCGAGACTGCTACACTCAGGCGACTATGGCCCACAGACAAGCACTCAACGTGGAAAGAGCAATTACTGAGAACCACAACCTCCGCAAGCAGCTTTCTTGTGGAAGTGATCAACATGAGAGAAACTTGCACAGGGGAGGCCCACACACACGAAGCCAGAATTGCCTAGATTTTTCGACCCCAGATTTGGAGGTCACAGAATCACAGCTGCAAGCCTCACGTGCACACTGCCTTCTGCTTCCACTATCTGATACACTTCCAGCTAATAGTCACGTGCTCTTCCCGCAACTCTACCCCTGCCCACTTACGCGGCGTCGCTACTCAAGATTAGAGGGGCACCTACTGTAGCTCTGGCGGAGTCGGCGTGACAAGCCTCGGCGGAGTCGGCGGAGTCCTCGCAAATTGCAATTTACCAATAGAGCGCCGTGGAGTCCTAGGTTTCCCGGAATAACAAAACAATGTTTTGAAATTCGGGAACACAACGACTCCGCCGTTCGCGGGCAGGCTCGCCACCTTGGTCCATTTTGCTAAGACTCTACGACGGGGGTGGAGGGCCTCCATCACGCAGCAGGAAAGTGACCTTCGCTATGTTCTCAAGCAGGTTAAGCCGAGGCAGGAACTCGGTCTCCAGCACTTGCTGTGGAAATCAAGCCCCCTTCCCAGCCTCTTCAAAACACAGTCAAGCCCCCCTCACCCCAACCCTTTCAAAAGAGGTCAAACCCAACCCAGCCCCTTCATAGCATGGTCAAACCCGCCCAAGCCCACCTCAAATCCACCCGAAAGCTACCCTCAGCCCTTTCAAAACATGGTCA